AATTGTGATTTTTTTTCAGTCATAAGCTTCATTTGCTTTAGTTCAGTTTGCAGCATATGAATTTTATAAGATTTAAAATTGTCACTGATCATGCTCATACCTACTATGACTTTAATCCCAAATAGTTTCAAGATTATAAAAAACCAAAACAGCCTCCAGATGTTGCAGGAATGCACATTTCCCTCTGGAAGAACTCAAAAGTGCTAAAAAGCCCAAGTGGTGATCTTTTACAGAAAAATGTACCAAATGGCCTAATAAACATGGTTAATTTGGCGTTGTCGAGTGTAACTGGATCTGCCAAAACCCACTAGCTGCATCAAGCACTGAGAGTATCCAAACACCTGCAAACTGTGGAAGACCATCAGCTGTAAAGGAAAGGATCTGCATTTCTTTTTTGACAAACTTGTTTTTCTCTTTCTGGTCTGAATTCTGTGTAATCGTGATTTGAAATTATTCAGAAAAAGTGCTTTGGTCCTCGTGCAAACACTTCTCTGCTATTTACTGTATTTATAAGGAGGGCCATTTTTTCAGAATTCTTTGCAAACCTGCAAAAAAGATGCTATTGCTTTCTGGAACGCAACTACAAACACTTCCATTTTGCTTGAGTACCAATGAGGTGTTGATTAATTGATTACTTCAGTCCTTTCACATTGGATTATCCTCTGGTTCTATTTTGTACCTTGGGCAGCAGTATAACATTGTGGCTCTATGAACTGTATATGGAATGGGTCCTTTTTGAAAGTACTTGCATGGGAGGAATCTTTAAGTTTTCTACTTCTTTGTCAGACTCTGTAATGAAATCTTCACATACACATTGACCATTAGCTTCTTGGCATAGAAATGAGTATTAGGTATACCAGTAGTCCTCAACCTCAGCAACTTTAAAATATGTGGACTTCTACTCCCAGAATTCCTCAGCCAAAGGAGGAATTAATTAGTTAAGCCAATGCTTAACTCAGATAATATTTCTGTCCAAAAATCTGACCGCAAAGTACATACATTTTAGATTTTGTTCCTCTGATTTTGGAACTAACTATAAAATACTCAAGGCAATATGAGGTCTTCTACTGGGGTCGCAGTTGGAAATAAAACATTCCATAGTCTACTTTCCATAGTCTGGCAGAAAAACTAAGGACATACAACTGCTCCTCAAAGGAAGTGCTTTATGGTATCAGATTTTAATTTTGTCCTACCACTTCGGCTCAGTATAGATAGCTGCAAAATATTCTATTTATGACAAACAAGTTTCTCAGAAGAACATTTCTGGCTTCTGTGACTTGACTTTCCCAAAATGAGATTCCTTCAGCAGTATTAGTGTAGATTTATTTTATTTATTCATACAATTTATTGGCTGCCCTTCTTACCATATGTTAACTCTGGGCAGCTCACAATATTAAAATATGCCCTTGATCATGGAGCAAAGCTGGTCTGATGGGCCTTTTTCCATTTCTTTATAGCAGGACTGTCAAACTTACAACCCATGGGCCGGATGCCCACGGGCTGGTTTAGCAAAGGGGGGGAAAGTCCCCATATGTCACGTGACACAGCCGTGACAACATGAGTTTGACTCCCCTACTCTATAGCTTTCTTTGAATGTCCTTGATGGTTCAAAGGTTATTATCATGTCCACTGCCCTTTTATAGTGAAAGCAGTTTCCATCTGTAATTTTTAGGATAAACCCTTCTGCAAAATACAATCTGCCTGTCTGTAATAGTTTCATTTCTCTTGTCTCACAACTCAGTCATTTGTTTTCATCCACTTTTTATATAGCTTCAGGCTTTTGTATGTGAGAAGCTTTTGTATGGATCATGGGTTTGGGGGATACAAAAGATTTTTTTCCCCAAAGAGAAACATTCTTACCTGCAGCAGCAAAGATTTGCAGTTTATTCCTTTTGGTTCATGGCAGAAATGAGGATACACATCTGGATTCTTCCATTTGCCATCAGTTGAGTAGCAATGTTGCACTGAACAATTGCTTCCAATTATGCCATCTTGTAGGCTACTGAAATCAAAGTGTGGTGGAAAAACACCAGGAAGCCAAGTCTCAAAGGGAAAGGATTTTCAATTTCATTTCATAGGAATCTGTATAGCTGCAACATGGTTTTCACTGTTGGTACCATTTTTGTTCTTTACAAACTGGCCCCGAGACTTGCATTTGAACTATAATAAATCAGTTAACTAAATGTATAAACTGCTTGTCATCCTTAATCTATTTTTTCATGAAGATGGCCTCCTTCATCTGTGGGATCCTAACCCTAGAGAAAATTGGTGGCTCTTTCTATTCTCTTATTAGAATTGCATTCCACTATAGTCATGCATCAACTCAGATCCATTTACAGCTTTTCATGAATTTTTCATATTTAGCCTGGCATTCATTATTATATGTTATACGGGACACGAAGATTGCAAGTTGTCTTTAACTCCTAAACAGAAAACATTATATTGATAGTGGAGGAAATACTGCTCCAGGTAACATGTAAATACTACTTAACATGGTTTTGCCAAGAAAATAATTTGTTAAACCTTCCCACTCATGTCCCACAGAGTATTTTGAAAACTCTGACTACCGTAGTCATGTTTCATTTATATGGGCCAAGTGTAATTTATTTAGAAACATTTTGAGCTGCTGATAGAACCAGTCCCTTAAGTAACCTCTGTGTGTGTGTATATTTGTGTGTGTGTGCTTTTCCCCTATATGTAAATAGGAAACTTTTTATAATGATGACAAGTCTATGGAATGTGGAATAGGCAAGTCCAGTTGCCAAACTGTGACCTGTAGGCCACATTCCAAGATATGTTTCTTTCTAGCTGCTTTGCTTCGTAGTTGTCTCATTTGAGAGCTGCTTTTATCTGGCAGAGATTGCTTATTGTTCTGCCTGTGACAAGAGTCCTCATGTCACTATTTTAATACTTTTGTGCACATGGCAGTTGTAGTTTTGTTTCTTCTGCTGCTTTTTTGGTTAGATGTGCACAGCTGCAACTGCTATAGTTTTGTTTAGTCAGGAAACTTCCTGTCTATCAATGCATGGTCATTCTTCAGTATCAGTGAGATCTGATTTATCCTTCCAAAATGATCTCATTTTCTTTGAGGACATGTGGCATTTACCGAGCTAAAGGGCTGAACTAAAATAATGCATCTCAAAATACAAATGCTCTGGATGAGGCTGTTTATATGGTTCTATTCTTACTATGTTTTAAGATACAATGAGATTTGTATGCAAGAATTTTTACCTGTTTGTTTATAAGAAAGCCGATTTACAGTACGTCTTCACACTTCACACCATGCTTCAGCAGTAAATCACTGCTCTTCAACCTTTTAATATCTTATTCAGCACTCGGTAGAAGACGCTTAATTCAGCTAAGGCTGAATTATTATTGCCGACAAGGAGGTCTGAACACAACAGCTGATTATCCACCACACAGTCAAGAAGTCAGAGCCTTCATAAATATATAATGCTCCAGAGTTTAAACTCTGAACTTTTTCTGTCTGGCCTTTGAAGCTAGGAATTAATTGGTTGCTTTCTTGATACCCTTAGGAGGTTACTGAGATATATTAATATCCAAAGGTCTCTTTAGTCTGGGAACTGCGGCTCCTCAGTCCTTACAGCTTCTGTACTGGCTTGATTCAAAACTCAACCTGTGTTTATACAGTGAATTGGTATTTGTTTTGATAGGACAAAGCAAAGCTACAAATGCTTCATTTTGAAACAATGAGCAAAGCAGTGCATCTACCATGAAACTACTTGTGCTAGATTAAAAAGTGTATTTGTAATTCTCTTGTTTTATGCAGATAAAATGTTCCACATATTTATAGTTAGAAAGTGGTCTGAAAAATGTGTTAACCAGGTCATTGCCACAGTTATTCCCCAGGACTTTGGGGCTCTGTTATCTCTAAGAAAAGAAGAAAGAAAAGTAAATGACTCTGACTTTACTCTCAGTATCCAGAAAGTGAGAAGTATTGACAACTCTGCATAGTGACCATGAGAAGGGCTTTTTAATACCAGAAGATTAGATGGCATCTAATCATTCCTTGAATATTTGCAGTCCATATATATTGAAGTGTTTGTATTTACACTCAGGTATGACTGAGGGAGCATGGGGTTGAGTGTGATCCCGATGGATGAAAAACCATAAAGGCTTAAAGATAGCCTGAAAGAGAAATGGGTAAGTTGGATGAGGGACTCTTGCATGCTGCATTTGGATTGTGCAACTGTGAAAGAAGAATACAGAATGAAGGATAGAAAAATAACTTCAAGATTTTGGGTTTGCATTTTGGATCTCAGATTTCACCTCGGCCACAAAATAATGGCAAGCAAATTATTTTTCTTTAGCCTCAGAAGGTATTTCCAAGAATTGAAAATTGTACCATTGTTTAAATGAGTAATTATGTATTCCTAAATTTAGTCCTGTTTCATGTTTTATTAAGATTGGATTAATGATTTGTACAGTATTTTAATCTTATTGGCTTTCTCACAAAAATGTGTTTTGTGATTGGCCAAATCACAATAGCACTTTGTGGTGCGCTTAAATAAGAGATACATCCATCATCCTTAAAAGGTGGAAAAATACTCCCAATAGTGGCTTCCAATAACTTAGAAGCAGATTTTTATCCCCCCAACCTTACCTGATGTTGAAAGATGCTAAAAGTGCATGGCAGATTCTCTACTATGTGTGCAAATGACCAGCAGACATAAAATTAATGCTGTATATTATTCATTTTCAATGAAATTCCCAGAATTGATTCCTAGATCTTCAGCACAATCCCTTTCATTTTCACAAAAAAAGAGCACATATCACTTTTTTTCAGTTTCTCCATTTTGGAAAAAAAATCTGGCTTTATTTGTAAATTCTACAAAATACAGAGGAGTCTGGCAGGACACTTACTGTAAGTCAGAAAATAAATAAGTACTTTTTTTCTTGCTCTATAGAAGATAAAATGTGATTTGCATATATAAAATATAAAGTACAGCTCTGTACCAACATCCCGGCCGTGCCACAAGGCAGAACGGCATAAAGAATGTGAAAATAACTTATATTCGTGCAATAAATAAATCACAGGGTAGGAATAAGGAAAAATAGGGTGACAAGGGTAGAAACGTTAAAGAGGAAATCCCCACTAAGGATCAAAAGGATGGAGAGGAAGGATGGACAACACTGGTTTGGAAGCTGATTCCATCTTAGGGGTAGAAGTCACGTTAAGCTGCAGGATGGGTAAATCCAACCATATGTCTTTTTTTAAAAAAAATGGATCATATTTGCCACTTAAATAAGTCACTGGCACATGCCTGGAAATGATTACCCACAAATACTCACTGGTTCTTATGTTAGCAACATATATTTAATGGAAGAAGGTACTTTCCTAAGTCTTCTAATCTAACCCTTCTCCATGCTTTCTACAGAATTACTGTTTCCATGTCTCCCAGGTGTATAAACTTCCCAGTTTCTTAAGCAATGGAGCTGCCAGTGTCTCTTGGTACAGATGTGCTATTCTCATATCATCCATGCTTGGCATAAAACTTCATACCCACTTTAAAATGAGAAGGCAATGGGCTAAAACTGCTTGGCCAAAAAGGCATACAGATAGGAAGTATATCAATAGCTGATTCTACAAGTCCAGTGCTAGTAATATTCTGTGTGTACATGCAGGCAGCTTGGTTTAAATGGCATATGGGATTCATGACAGCATGGCAGAGAAAGGGAAACAATACACTGTTTAAGTTTGTGTTTACTAAGTTAGGCTTTGAATGGTATCAGTTTTTTCTTTCTACAATTCTCTACAATTTGTGTTCTCTACAATTCACATTTCCAGCCAACATGGCAGAATGCATCTGGAAAACCACTGGACGGTATAAAAGTTACTACAATGAAAGGGGCAAGATTGTGATTGTAAACATTTTTAAAAATTGAACAGTGTGGTTTTTACAGTAAATACTACTAAGTGCATATGAGAATATTATCTTAAAAGAACAAGGGACAAACACAATGGCATCCAGGAGAACCTAAGTCTGCCATTGTGCTAGCTTAGACCAAACTAAGTTTTATTTTCATGACAGAAATTATTTTTGGCTATGATTTAAACTATTTTGCTGCTCTTGTGAAAATGCATCCTTCAGATATAAAGAAGAAAAACATTTTGAATTTCATCTACTACACTTTCCTAAATAGAAATGCACCTTGCATTTTACACAGCTGAATGAGGCAAAAAAAAAAAAAAAATAGGCCACAAAACAGCACAGAGGAACTATATCCCTCACCAATGTATTTCCAACTGAAGCCTCTTTTCCTTGTTCTATGTAAGTGACTGGATCTTTCTCAACTTGTTTTTGAGGAGAAAAAAGAAACTGGAAGAGATATGCTAGGTTGCATCCCATCGCTATGTTTAGGATTGATTCTGAACCCCTCAGAATCCCACACCCAATTGCCTGTACTGCTTCTTGGGGTGGGCCAACCTTCATATAGCTTCTCTTGAACATAAAATGTCTTAATCTCTGTAATAGTTGGGTATATTTCTTTCCTGAGTTTCTATTTCTAGTCTTTTGCCAATGCAAAAACAGGTTCTCTTCATTACATTCTGTTTGTTGCTATTTGTACCCCTCATGGAACTAATTGTTTTAGACCTCTCTAGTGTCTTCTCTAGAACTTCACTTGCAATTCTGTTGCCCCTTCACTATCCATCAGTCTCACTTGCTTTATTCACTCCTGCCTCATTTAATACACTCCCTCTTTACTTTTCCTATTTCCTTCTCTCTCTCTCTCTCTCTCTCTCTGTCTTTAGAAAACTGCTTCTATTTTGTCCATAAATCTTATAACCTCAGCAAAAGAGCACTTTTACAATCAAAACAGTATTTGGAGTACAGCTGCATCCACACACAGTTGCAGAAAGATTGTTTCTCCAATCACTGCAATGGGCATAATTCTTTTATTTCTTCCTAGGGTGGTTAGCAGCAACTAGCTCTTTTCTTGACACGTCCCTTTCTGATCCGTTTTTCTATCACCTTTGCAGTCACCAAGCAATAACACTTTTCTTGACTATTTTAAAATGTCTATTCATCAAAGGCTCAGACTGATTCTTGTAAAATAACAATTTCATGCTGAAGCAATCAAGAGGCTCTGAATTAAACAGTAGGTTAACTGGGAACTATGGTTTACAACAAAAAGCAGACAGAGTTATACATGAATACCTAGACTTGTGTCTGAACAACGAACCAAGAAACTGGGAAATTGATATCCTCTGATAACTTCTGGATTATTATAATCACTGTGTTTTAGACATTAAAAGGAGACTTCAATCTTGGCATCCCCCCTTTTCCCCATCAGATAGAAGCTATCTACCTTTCTCTATAATTGCTGTCAAAACTTCTCTGAAGCAGCATTTCCAACTAAGGTATCTCATCTTCAAATCTCTCTGTTTTACATTTAATCAGTTGTAAGGTATGAAGCAGCAGAGAAGAAAACCTAACAAATATAAAATGGAAAAGAAAAATAACTGGCCACTGTAATCCAATTCACAAATAACTGACAGCTAAAATTACACAAGTTGGGCACCACTTTCCCACAATCTCAATGAAGGCAAGGACTAAGGACAAAGTTCAACATTTAGCCATTTGGTCTTCAAGTCAACTGTGTCTCCTCCAGTGGGTAGAACAAAAGTGGGAGAAGGAAAGAGCCAGTGCAGCTACAGCTGCTTTAGGTAAGAGCTGTGCAGAGGCATGGCAACAGGACTTAGTTCATGGCTCAGCTTGTAGGCACTAGGAGTAGGTGGCCTGGTTGGAACCAGATTTGACAATGGTGATAACGCTGGCAGTTGCCACCTTCGCAGCAGTGCCATGAGCAGTGACTGTACGGGCAAAGCCCTGCAGCGCTTCATACTTGCCACGCAGGGCGTCCAGCTCAAGGCGCATGGCAGCATTCTCCCGCGCTAGCTTATCAACTTCCCTTTCTAACTCTGTCTTTTGCTTCTGCAGCTCCTCCTTCTGACACACTCTCTTTACTCGGCAGCTGGCCGCATAGCCACGATTCTTCAGAGTGCGCCGACGTTGCTTCAATCTTGCTACCTCTTCTTTGGACAGGCCTCTCAGATGGTGGTTAAGTTCCCGCACTGACAATCCCATAAGCTCCTCGTCTGAAAGGTGTGGTGTGTTCTCACCCATCTCCCGTTTGATCTGTTTAAGAAAAGGATCGAATAGTTGAGAATCAGCAGAGGTATGGGAAAAACAACAACAACAAAGAGCAGTGGGAACCTAGAAGAATAAAACAACAACAACAGGGGAACAGTTTGTAGCAATAGTATGTAGGCATTGTTATTTGTATACATTTTCTGCAATGTTTTTTAAATTAAGGTTTTTTCCTTACATGGTAATAATTATATTATAAATTCCTCCTAATAAAATTAATTGATTTTATAATAAGGTTTTGAAGTTTGAAGATTTGACTAAGATCTTTAAATTATTTAGCCAGGACTAGACGCCAATGAACTCAACGGAATTTACTTCTCAATAGAAGGGCTGTGTACTTAAATCAGTGTCAACTGAATCAATACAAGTTACCCATCAACTAAATAAGTAGGATCAAAGTATGACTCACTCAGTCTGGATTTATTCCCATCACTTTGTTTCTTTAAAGACTTCTTTAATCTTCCATCTTATCAGTGTTATTATTTCACAGCAGCAGAAATTGCAACCAAATATAAAATTTTATGTTTCTTTTATGTAATTCCCCCCATAACTTCATTGTGTTAACTCTTTGATCCAGTTCATCAATTAGTTTACAGAAATTGCATTCTATGTCAATTTCATTTTTTTCTCTTATAAAGCATTTTTGAAAGATGGAATATTCTTTAGATTCAGAGGAAAAAAATCTAGAGCAACGCAAATATATCTAGTATTGGATCTCAAGTAGCTCTTTGGGAAAGAAGTGCCAAAATCCAGATATCATTGCAGAAGATACTCCATTTCTGGGATTAATCAGACAAATCTGATTCAGGGGGAATTCAAAAACAGGATCCAGGATGCAAATCTTAAAATTGGTTTGATATGATCCTTTATGTATGGGATCATAGACCATTTACAGTGTAATCCTATGCAGACTATGTAGCAAGAGAAGAAAAATTCTGTTTCCAAACTCTCAATGGAGAAAATAACTACATACTGTATTTAAGACGTTAGCTTTTGAGAACATCAAAGTTATCGTATAACAGTGACTAAGTATTGCTCAATATTGGTGTAAGACACATGTGATATTTTCCTGCTACAGTTCAGATGCTACTGGCTGCATTCCATATCAATTTCTAAATACCTCTTTTTGAACTGAATTTGCAATTTCTCTGCCTTCAGATATTTCTAAGCAAAAGTTAAATCAACACTTGATTGTCTTGACTTTTCCAGCTTATAGGAACACAGCAGGAATAGCCATTCCTATTCAAATTGCTTTGAGGCAATAAATAATTAGAAGGAAGTGGCCATTTGGCTAAATAATCAAACCTAGTCTAAGTTTCCACACTTAAACTACTATATATTGAAACTATTTTGTTTAATCAGTATACAATTTCTAATAGTGTCACAAAAACAAAGACATGTAAACAATAGCAAAATGTTCCTTTGCAGATCATGCATTGCTAAAAACAAAGTTATAATTGAATATTGTCATTATGATATTATCATAATTTCCTAATACTTGCTTAGTTGCAGGCCTTTTGACAAAATTCACCGGCTTCCGGACAATAATTGTTGGCTCCCTAAAAAACCTTGGGGTGAGCATACCTACCCCTGGCTGTTTCATACAAAATCTGTTCTAAATTAACGTGCTGCTTTCCTCTTCTAGAAAGGTGAAGCAGATAAATACAGTTCCCAAAATTACTGCCCTGGATTTTTGTTTGGAAAAAACTTACAGCTGACAATGAAGAATGGATTTATTTACTCTAATATAAAGGAGGGGCTGGCTTTTCCTGACAATTTCTGTTACTTCTCTGCAGGACACACCTCCACCAGTCCTTACTTTACCTGCACACAATAATGGTTGCCTCTGTCCTCCAGGTTTGTGTTTAAAGAATTGTGGTGGTGCAGTGGTTAGAATGCAGTACTGCAAGCTAACTCACTGCTCACACTCCAGGAGTTAGATTCAGACCAGCTCAAGGTTGACTCAACTTTCCATCCTTCTGAGATCAATAAAATGAGGACCCAAATTTTGGGGGGCAATATGCTGACTCTGTAAACAGCTTACAGAGGGCTGTAAAGTCTGTGAAGCGGTATATAAATCTAAGTGCTACTGCTATTAAACAAACAATGTGATGATCTTAAGAATGAGGAGACAATAGTGTCAATTTTTTATTGTTTCTTTTCTTGGATTCAAGCAGGGAAAATACTTATATGGAGAAGCAAGTGTCGTTCTTCAAATATTTCTGAGAAAAGTAATAGGGGCCCAGCTTACTAAAATGTGTTTGTGTATGCATATGTATGGCAAGAATTTATAGTTCACATTAACAAAGCCACATCAGTGCAATAACTCTCAGAGAGAAAAATTACATTAGGAAAGACACAGAACATCCTTCCCTTTTTGGCTCAATGCTGCTAGAACCATTTGCAAATATGTGTCCGTATGTGCTTCAGCAACTATGTGGATTACAGACTGGCTATTATTTAAAAAGAAGTCCTGCATCAACTTATTGAAAATAATTTAGTTCCATACGAATTTCCACACACATGTTCACCAGGCCAAAGGAGAAAGTGAACAGCAACACAAGCAGGAAGGAAAAATGGAGAAATGGAGGGTACAGAGAACAAGGAAGTAAGGGCACAAAGAAGAGGGAAAGTGAAAGGTGGGGCTAGAATAATTGCAGAGAAGATCAGGGGAAAGGAGTTGTACACATATTGTGCAGAAATTCTGTAGAGCTTGTAAGGTTTACTTTTCTTCCAGTAAGAACTCTGGATGCTGTTTGTTTTTTTAATGCCAGATAATAATTACTGATTTAAGTCATGATGGTTGATCTGTTGTAGCAAAATACCAGAGTTTTATGGAAGGGACGTGAAAACTCTAGGAGACCCCCTATCTTGGCAAAAAAATGACAGAGAGAAATGTGTTTTTTCAAATAGCTATGTCCTTACCTTTAGGGCTTTGGTTGACAAGCTGTCAGATGACATTTTCTTGGGCGCTCCTGACAGTCCCCCAGAAACACCCTGTAATTAGGGGGGGAGGGGGAGAGGGAGGGAGGGAGGGAGGGGGGAGAGAGAGAGAAATTGTTGTTATTTAAAGCTTGTCCGTAGATTGTGTCTTTCACAGAATTTCCCTTCTTTTTCATCTGTTCAGGTCTTCCAGTCTCATTTTCCTACTATCCATCCTACCCAGCTGGCTTAAAAAGCAAACGAACCCTGGAATCAGTTCCTTACTTAAGCAGGAGCAGCAAAGATCCAAAAGTGCTGACCCAGCATCTAAATGATTTTTTTTAATAAATATATATTTTAATACTTTTAATTTCCCCCAAAGCAATGTTTTTCAAATTTGGCAACTTTAAGATGTGTGGCTGTCATCACCCAGAATTCTAAGCCCAAAATGAAAGTTTTTGCACAAAACAGCCTACCTAGCCACCCAAGCAAAATATGAGGTATCTCCAGTACATCCTCTCCTCCACTGTACAGTGACTCTATAATGGACATGCTCTGCAGTTGCCGGAAACACAGAAGGGCAAACATTTCCTGAGAAGGAAACTGAGCAGTGGAGAGCCAGCTGATGGGTGTGTCTCTGAAATGGCAGGGCCTGAATGGAGACACGAGGGAGGGAATAAGAGCAATACATTTTGGTTTTTGGCAGCACAAGAACTTCAGTCCACTGGGGGGGGGACCCTGAGAGTGACTAATAAGCCAAACCCTTGCATCCCAAAGGGCAGATGTATGTCAACCGTCACTACTAAGAATTATGCATTAGAACAGTGTTTGGAAAACACTGCATTAGAGAGTTGTGTCTGCAGTCAGATATGTCTATACAATCTGTGGATCAACTGTTCTCCTCAAACAATGGGATTATCCTCAATTTATCTCCTTTTTACACTGACATTTGCGTGATTCAAAAAGGATTCTTATATAGCAGAGGTCTCCAAACTTGGCAACTTTAAGACTTGTGGACTTCAACTCCCAGAATTCCTTAGCCAGTGAATTCTGGGAGTTGAAGTCCACAAGTCTTAAAGTTGCCAAGTTTGGGGACCCCTGTTATATAGTAAGGCCAATGGCAGCATCTGATATCTAGGAAGATTATGGCCCATAATTACAGTATTTATTTTCTTTCTCCCCCCTCCCCCCAACCACCCTAGACCTGGCATCCTGGAAATACCTGGTGGCTGAATCTAATTGCTCTTGTCATTTTGCACAACAGTACTGTGAGGACAGCAGGCCATTAAAAGAGTCTTTGAATTAAATCCTGGAATTCAACATATGACACAACATACAGTGCATGTTTTAAAAAATTATACCAGAGGAGCTGTGTCCCAGGATGGTCCAGCAACAATCTACAAATATATTAATGTTTAGATGGAGACCTTCCAAAGCAGCTTAAGTAGAAGTATTATATAAAAGTGAGGACAAATATATATATATACAACTTTCCATCCTTTCCTACCATGCTTTCCCTTTTTATTTAACAATCCTGGCATTTTTCTGATAGGTCATCAATGAAGGGACATCTTGCTGACATTTGCCTCTTTGTCATTCTTCTTTGGAAAACTGACCTCCAATTATACAACTGTATTATGTAGAGCTTTTGGCAACTAGCAGTCACAACACTGTATTTTATTCTTGGAAGTCTTCTGGAAATAATATGGGAAGCTCAGACTACAATAAGTCCTTTATACTTTATCAAATTATTATTTCACTTCAGCTGCAAGAGCTGAGAATTTGTTGTTCTACAGATATCCCTGAATTGTACTTTATAGCATTCTTCAGAACTGTCCCTGAGATCCCTGGGAATTGTAGTTCAGCAATGGCAGACAGCAAGGAGATTGTATTCTCCTAATACAGAGTTTCTTAATCTTAACAACTTTAAGATGTGTGGACTACAACTCTCAGAATTCCCCAGTTGAGAAGCACTGCCCTAATACTTAGTTTCATCATGTATGTATTGGTATCTAGTGGCATCATATAGCCATCTTTGTTCTCAGAATAAGTTTGTTCAAATGTATAGCATTGTTTTAAGGATTATGCCCTCCATGTCGCTGAGCTCTTAAGAATATGGATAGCACAAATGAATTTTACTTTATAATAGTATGATTTCACACAAGTAGTTCTAGTATTGTCAATTTTCTTTGAAGTTTCCAATCCAAAAGTGTTGGATTAACGCTCACATTTATGCTATGGGAAATGTAATCTAGTAGGTAGAAGGCTAAATTTCAATTTGCATAAACTAATCATTTATGGGATTTGAAGGTACCCAAATGTAAAGCCCAGAGTATTAGTATGCAAAGATCAGCCCAAACTGATATATCTGGTGCGCTCTTGATGACTTTGGAACACTTGTTGTTCCAGCCTAATTCTTCCAAAATTTGAAGTGATGTTAAATGTAATATATTGCCTTAAATTATTGTATTGTTTTAAATATTATGATGTGGCTAGAAGTGAGCAGGAAATTCTTTCAGAGTCATGGGGGTGGTTAGATATCTCTGTCCCTTTGTTAATTATCTATTTAACTCTTTTAGAAAACTTTGAGTGGGAGCTGCCCAGAGTTGGTTATAAGATAGGTGGCTATATAAATATTTTAAATAAATGAAACAAATCCAAATAGATACTTCTTTTGTACTTTTATCTACTCCTCCAGAATCTCAATTCCTTCACACTAATGAAATCCAATTGTCACTAAAATGTTTAACATTTACTTTCAGATATTGATGTGATATTTATTCTCAGTCCAGGATTTGACGATGTGAATGTAAATGGAAAAGTACAGAATAAGTAAGAGCAGCACTGAAATGTTTAAGGGAGATTTAGGGTATTTTTTAATCTCTCAGAAAGTACAAAAACTTGATATCTCAACTTCAATCTCTGAAGTCAGGATTTCTAAACTTCTCATTCACTTCACAGACTTTCTGGAGTACCAGGGATAAAATGTGAAGCATAAGATCATATGTATATTTTTCAATCACCTGCAGTGATTTCCTAGAGTTAGGTTACCACACTTATAGATTTCAGAGTAAAGCATAGAGTTCATGGTTCACAATATGAGAGATGTCCAGAGAATATATCCCCTGAGACTATGAGCACATCAAGGAAAGTTGTGCTTTCTTTGAAAGACATTCAGAATTTAAGTAGTATTTTTTTTAATTTCATCCTCTGGTCAAAATTAAGTGTTTAAGTGCCATTAGTCATTTGGCTACAAATCTAAATAGTTATTGCTGAGATCACATTTATACACTTGTCTCACAGGGAAGCTTATTTTTTCCTCTTGAAATTGGCAGTACTATTATATAGAAACAAAAACAATCCTTCAGCAATCTTAAAGGATGATATTTGTTATGGGATGAGGTTTAGTTACTGTAATAGATTTACATGGTTGCCCCACTGGAAATCATGAATATTCTTTTGGCCCCCTCTTTCAGAGAAAGAGCTTATAACTGCAGAGCTAATAAAGCTATCGTATTCTTAATAAAACTACCTTGGTTGAAATACAAGTGACTTAATTTAATATTATACTTCCCATTTTTAAAATATCTGATAAATTCCCCTATTTGCAAAGCAATATTAGGGATGATAAATTGCAATAGAAACAAATATCTAACCTCATTAAAACACACCTTAAGGGTATAATCACCCTTTTTCATCTCTAGAAAAACATGGTTTAATTAACAATAGTTAATTAAGCAAGACCTTGCAGAAGACCTATTTTTAAATCTAGTCCAAAGAATTTTTCTTCTTCTTTCCCATAGACTCAAATGTCTTACAGATGAATGTACTATTTTTTCCATACATAGTTAACTACAACCAAGGGATAAGGTTTCTTATTTCTAGTCTTGAACCAATTTAATTTTATATACTTATATATAATTTCTCAATCTTCTCATACCATCAGGATAGAATGGGCTATTCCTTTCAATGTGTTTCTTAAGCCCTGTGGTCAATGAAGGAGGAAAAAAACTATTTCAGTGTAAATCAGCAGAAACAGAAACATGTTACCACCTCTACTGTGCCTTTTGTCATTACTAGAAGTGGAACCCAGGCTGTGAAGTATTCAGGCAGATATGCAGGCCTTGTTATCCAAAAATCTTGTAGAACTGATAAGACAAATGGCAAGAAATTCCCACCATGAAATCCAATGATGAAAAAAGCAAGGTTCTACCTTTAAGCAAGAAAAGCCAAATTCACAGGTAGAGTATGGGTGGTACTTTACTCAATAGTAGTAACTGTGAGAGAGATCTTGGAGTCCTAGTGGACAATCACTTAAATATGAGCCAGCAGTGTGCTACAGCTGCCAAAAAAGCCAACAGAGTTGTAGGCTGCATTAACAGAGGGAGATCACGTGAAGTGTTAATACCACTTTATAATGCCCTGGTAAGGCCACACTTGGAATACTGCAGTATTTTGGTCACCACAATGTAAAAAAGATGTTGAATTGGGTATGCCTACTTTAATGAAAAGAAGGACTACGGGTGATATCATAGTAGTGGGTTGCCACAAAGCAGAGGGAGTCAAGCTATTCTCCAAAGCACCTGAGGGCAGGACAAGAAGCAATGAATCAAGGAGAGAAGCAATCTAGAATTAAGAAGAAATTTCCTGAGAGTTAGAACAATTAACCAGTGGAATAACTGCCTCCAGAAATTGTGAATGCTCCAACACTGGAAGTTTTCAAGAAGAGATTGGACAACCATTTGTTTGAAATGGTATAGGGTTTCCTGTCTGAGCAGGGGGTTGGACTAGAAGACCTCCAAGGTCCCTTCCAACTCAACTCTTCTCTTCTCTTCTCTTCTATTTAATAACAGGACAGGTAAAAAAAATGATGAGAAAGAGGGTTGCTACAGAAACATGGATGGCTTAAAATTGCATGAATGACACTGAAGAGATTCCAAAATGTGTACAGTCTGGAGAGCACACATTGGACTGTAATACTGACAGCATTTTTGAAAACCATGAAGCTTTTATCCTTTGCTTATCCTCAAAGCAATATTGCACCACATCATCTTGGGTGAAGAGTCTCTTGAAGTAAAGTCAGATAGTCCAGGGTAAGAAGCTTGCCATAACCCATCAATACAAAGATAAATTTCTGTGTGTAATCAATATGAAGCAATGATGTTTTCTCAATGCTAATTCAAAAAACTTGGGAAACAAATACTCCTTAATCGTGAGACGGTCTCATCACTAAAAGAGGCAAAGGCAAAACTAAATATGCATTGAGAACAACTATCCTCCTAAGAGCTAACAAACTAGGAATCAAGAAGTTGAGGCTTAAAATATAAACCCATCAGCTGGAAACTCTGGTGCTTGTAGTATATTATTTCTGGAAGATAGTACAATGGAATGCCAGTCTCTTAAGTGTCAACCTAAAGAAATGTGCAACCATTCAATTCCTGATAGGAGCACTGATCCAAAGTTTACCTATGTCTCTTTACTTTTTAGTTGTCTTAGTAAGATTGGAACTAGTTTACAGTTTAGACCAGGTCACTTGTTGCTTAAATAATGCTAAAGAAATCATAATTAGCTAGAACCCAATAAACCATAAAACAGGGTTTAACAAATCACAAGGCCTAAACTTGTAAAATCAAGACTAAAAACATTAAGGTGCAGCCACTTTTCTGAAGCCACAAGTCTTAAACACATGATTTTTGAGCACTTTAACATAGAATAAAAGTGAAACTTACTTCCAATACCAATGGGGTTAGGAAAGGGAAACAATACCGATGCCAAGAATTGTCTTCACCAAAGCTATTCTGTCCATTTTCTGTGCAATGAAAACTTGCTATAGCTCCATGTCATTCTTTGTCATTCCTATATGCTTAATTCAGCACCAGTAGCTCCATATGTCATTTCTATGGGTGGAGATACAGAATAAATTTCACAGGGTGCACAATTATTGCTGTTGGGAGGAATTCCTTGTAGATTTCTCACTATTCTAAACTTTTAATTTTTTAACAGAATAACAGAGTTGGAAGGGACATGGAGGTCTTCAGTAAAATGCACTGCTCAAGCAGGACACCCTGTACCATTCCAGACAAGTGGATGTCCACTTTCTTCTTAAAAGCCTCCTGTGATGGAACACCCACAAATTCTGAAGGCAAGTCATTCCAATGGTTAATTTTTCTCACTTTTAGGAAATTTCTCCTTAGTTCTAGGTTGCTTCTCTCCTCGATTAGTTTCCATCCATTGTTTCTTATCTTGCCTTCTGGTGCTTTGGAATTGACCCCCTCTTTTTTCTGGCAGCCCCTCAAATATTGGAACACTGCTAACATGTTACCCCAGTCCTTGTTTTCACTAGATTAGACAAACCCAATTCCTACAACCATTCTTCATATGTTTTAGCCCCCTCCACCCTTGTAGTAATCTTTATTGCTCTTTTCTGCACTCTTTCCAGAGTCTCTACATCTTTTTTATAATATGGTGATCAAAACTGGATGCAGTATTCCAAGTGTGGTCTTACTAAAGCCTTATAAAGTGGTATTAATACTTCATGTGGTTTTGATTCTAATGCAAGGTAGCATTGTGTTGGCTTTTTTGGCTGCTGCTGCACACTGCTGTATATAATGACTACTGGTATTTAGTAATATAATTATATAGCAAAGAAAGTACGTTGGTATATATATTCTCCAAATATATTTCTAGAATGTTGTTTGAAATTTTTGTGCAGAATCAGGGCAGAATGGAGATGCTGGGTACATTTCCGTATATTTATAAAATTAAATAATGTACCAAATTCTTTCAAAATGGGCAGTTCAAATACAATAAAGGGCAAAACTAATTCTTCCTTTGGTACACACACATTCTTACCCTTCTGTGACCCTTTTCAATATATTTTAAAAGGAAGTTCACAGAGTGCTGCAAACTATTATATGAGGAGGAGGGTAGCAACTTGTCCCAGACATCACTAATTGCATCAGAGGGAATGTCCAATAAGTCTCCATGATACTTGTGTAACCACATTCCACAAAGCAAATGGAACATGTTTGCTAGATAAGGGAAATAGTGGACTTCTCTCAACCCATTGCTTAAGAATCAAATGCTAAGAACTTTTGCCTCTGTCATGATATATCGTATAACGCCTATAAGCAAAACTGCAAATAAAAATAGTATTCCCATTCTAAATATGATTCCCTGAGCCTGACACAGTTCCTCCTGGAGTGTTCTATCATAATGTTAAAAGACTTTTGCAATTTGCCTGTTCAATTTTCAGAGGATGAGAGTAACGCAAAGACACTCCCTCTTGTTTCACAAGAATAAGAAGATCAATATTTGGATAATTTATTTGCTAGCAAAATTTATTGTAACTCTGTCAATATATAGCAGCTGTTTGCACAGTGTATGCAGTTTTTATGGATTTGGCATCCAGCATCTAAGAAGTTTATTGTTTTGCTAGTGTACAAAACTATTGCAAAACTAACAGCTTTTCCCCAAAATGGTATGCTAACTTTTCTGATGCCAAGATGTGCATTTGGATGTGCATACACATCTGTATTCAATGGACTTCTCATATAGGGTATCAAATATCCAAGACAACATGGAAACAGCAAGGAAACAAACACATCTTTGTTTTGAAAATAATGAACCTTTCTCCAAGCAGGTTCACTATTTTCAAAACAAAGATGCATGCACAACTTTTCATGTTCTGGCTCACCCCATCTATTCAACAGTTTCCAAATTCATAGCTCTTATAGTTCAACAATTCTTAGGTATGACAAAAATGAGCAAAGGAATAATTATTCCATTTCCAGAACCGAATTTTACACAGATATCAAATCCTTGAGTGTAGAGTCTGGTAGTTGTTGCTTCTATTCTGCTATTGATACACATATAGCTTGAAAGTATGGGAATTGAGCTAACATACTGTAGCTATTGCAATATTTAAAACACTGATAAACTGAAAGGAAAAAAAATCAACAGTCATGATTGAGAATAGTATATTCCCTGATAAAATGCCCTCCAGGAATTTCAGGCTTGGCACAGAATTGTTTAGAGGAGGAAAAAAAATACCTATAAATTTTAATACACAAATTTGTCTTGGTAAAATTCTGATTGTAATGAAATTAATATTCTTAAATGCACACTTGGCAAATTTAACTCATACATTTTCTTCCACCAAGATCAAAGGGATTTATTCCTGACGAAATATGCCTAAATCCAGCTGTGTATTTAGCATCCATACACTGATTTATTATTTCAATAAAGCATCCATGTGGAGCAATTTCCAACATAAAGCTCAAGAAAACCTATTTGCATTCAATTGTCCATATATGGTGTATATTTTCAGCACCAATGCGGATTTGCTTTTAGATTTTCTTTCTTTATTAAAAAATATGTTTTATTATTTTACTTGTGATCCAGCACAGTACTGTGCAAATGAGTGGTCAATAAAAATGACATATAGAATATGCACCTTATCTGTAAAATATTTTCAGCACACTTTGATTGTTCTCTCTCCACCCATCTCTTCCCTTTCTTGATCAAATTATGATAAAGCAAAATGTAAAGTGATCCTGTCAATATGCTATACATTATATATTCTAGAGATTTGTAGTCATGCAAACAAGTAACTTGTGGTCATTTTAAAGACCCTTAAAATATACTTCGGGCACAACTGTTTCCTCACCATAACAGGCATTATATACTAAGAAATTTAATCCCAGATGACTTTGATTGGAAGCTTTCTCATTGTAAAAGAAAACTTGAAGAGTTGCAGCTATGCAAAAATTATCAAGAAACCCAAACCTAGGATTTGATATAATTTCCATGAAATGTTCAGCAAAAAACTTTAACTAGTAAGCATATTCAGTGGCATTTTTTTTACAATCCTCCCCGTTCACCTCTTCAACAGATGTTTCAGATTTCATGTGACAATCAAATCATAAACATCTGCCTTCTTGGGATCTTTAACCAGAATGGCATCTTTGAGATTGTTGCAAATTCTAATTATAGTAAAGGGATTCAGGATGAGGACTTTTTAGAATCTATAGGCATAACAAGGAAGCCTCATTTCTAGAACTGGCTTAATATATTGTGTAAACTCAGCCACTACTGTTATAAATCATAGTTACAACATAGTATACTCTCACCCCAGCCAGTTACATTTTATTTTGTAAGATGCAGTCAAATGAACCATATCTTAGCATGATTTGTCCACTCTTTCAATAAAAGGAGTTTCACAGGTTTATGTAAGAGCCTTCTCTAATCACTGTAGTCCAGTATTAGACTAATTTTCAAAATTTCTCACCAGAAGGGTTAAGATGCAAAGGATGAGGATTGAAAAGGTGTCTGAATATCCAACCCTAGACAGAAATGATCATATGAAACACCTCATCACAGGTAGCTTTAATTCATTTCAGCTCTCAAACTCCACAGATTCTCTGGTGGGAAAAAAACACCCTTCCAGTTCATTCTTTAAATAAAACAAAGTAACCTTCAATTATAGGAACTTCTCAGTTTTGCTATAATCCCAAAGTCTACTGAACGCAATCTGGTGTAAGAGACTTGCATGTAAATTAAGATATCCCCATTCCTGGCAATTATATCAGGTACAAGCAAAGCTCAAAGATCTTCTCTGCAAAAACTCTTAATTATCCTCAAACTTCCTTCACTGGTGCCTGCCATATAATTTGGATAGGAAGAATGGATTTAATTTGGTTACTAGAAATCTTCACTAATGTGCCTGTAAATTCAGAATCTACAACATTCTCGACCCCAGTGTTGTGTCACAAAGATAACAGCCTTGTAAACAAGCCAACAAAAGTTGCAGGTTCGTATATTTTTAACTTGCCTGCTAAAAAAAGCAACCTACGTTACCAGTCAGGTTTCAAAAAAGGAGAAGCTTCCTCCTCTGAATTGAACGTGGAAATGGAAACTACATACCTGTTAGTAAGTTAATAACCTTGGTTAAAAGGTTTTTTTCTCAGGAAAAAGACTGCTCCTTGCTAGTTACCGAAAGGAGAATCTCCCACCTCTCTGCTTACTTACCTGCACAGAGCTGCAAGTTGACTCTGGCAACCAAGCAAGTTGTTAAATACTAGATGGTTACTTATATAGATAAGGAGAATCAGAAATTTGCACTTTTAACTATTGCTTTTCTTGATCAAGTCTTCAAGGTAGAATCCTATAGATATCTATTCAGTTGTAAGCCTAAATGCAGACTGTTTATGGTTATAAAAGCCAAGTTACCTGGGAATTATGAAAGATACGATTGTATACATCTGGTAGGCGCCAACCTGGGGAGAGTTAATGCATCTTCAAAAAAAGATAGACACACAAGGTGTTACTAAATATAGGCTTAATCAGAGCAATAATTAAAGGATGGAGCACATCACCAGTACATGTTCCTTAGAATCTATAAACAAATATTAGCTGTAGTTTATAAAAGGAATGTGTGTGTCATTATGGGAACCATGAAATCTAACTGTACATATATCTTGAGGAACCTATATTTTCAAAAATGTGATACTATGCAGACACACATTTTAGAATCCTTAAAAGTTAGAAAAAATGAAAATTCTTTCAAAAATTTTCTATGCACTTTTACAGAAAAGAAAGCTTACAAATACATGGGCTAGAAATTGTTGAGTCTATAAATTGGAGCAAGCTGAATTAATGCAGAACTACCTTATTACAGTAGTTCCCTTTTGATTCTTAGGCTACATTAATTTAAACTAGACAGAATAATTGAAATTGTAATTTTGGTGTTTAGATGGAAAGGAATCCTTATTGTTGCTGAATTGCACATAACAAAAACTCAATAATACAAGGCTTATAAAGTTTTTGTTTTACTCACAAGTGAAGGCAACTTTGAGATCAGATTAAATCCTTTTCCTAAATAAACATTTATGAGATACATTTTGCCTTGGCTTTCTTCTTTGTTTTACCATCTGCAATTTATAATTCTCTCTTTTCTCTTTAATGGTTAACTACAAACCACCTGTCCCACAGTTTAAATATAATGCTTTCAAGAGAACTGGCATACCAGAACTTTTGTAAAGCACAGAAGCAGAGTTATTAAACAAAATATCCAAAGAATTCAATAGCTTAATAATCACTTAATTGTGGTTACAGCAGCATGAGCATCACAAAATATAAGATGCAACTCTAGGAGCTTGTCCTCAGTGAACTTCCAATCAACATGTAGCAGAGACAGGTACCCTTTCAAGAAAAAAGTTTCTTCTCTATTCTGCAGATCTTTAGATATATTTGTGACTACATTGACTGAGAATGAGAGGACTATAGCCAAATGTATTTTGGGGAACACTGGGTTAAAAAGGTATATCAAGAGGCTACAAAGATCCAGGACAAAAAGAGACTGGCCATCTTTATATAAAAAAAGAATATGAAACACTTTATCCAAAATGCATGCTCTTTTGTGAATTAATAACTACAGACTGAAATAACAATACCTGTTGATGCCAATCTTGGCTGAGTGCCTCTTAGGTTAGCAATACCAGCCTTGGGTAACCCAAGCTCTTCTCTGCAGCATTTCCATCCCTGTGTTCCACCCTCTCCAGGAGAAATCCACCTGCTCCTATTCTGGTTGCTTTTAGCACTTTACAGTACTTTTTGATTTTGCTTTAAAAGCACCCTACCAAAAGATGGCTGTTCTACTTCTGCTTTTTCCCCCTTTGATCAACTTTGTCATTTATACTGGTGACTTTAAAAAACAACAACAACACTGTTGAAAGAATTAAACCCCAAACAATCCGGAGATCCTTTTAATCCAAAATTAAAAACAAAGTAGGATTGTGCATGTGTTTATTCATATAAATGAGGCGCACCAAAGAGGAAACAACCCCAAATTAAAATTGAAGACATCCCTCTAGATGTGCATAAAAACAACAACAACAACAACAACAACAAAAGCCTTCATGATCTTTAAGGAGTTTAACAGGACGGGGGTGGGGGATTAATTAGGACCCCTATGCATGAAAGCGATCCCACAAGTTCAGGCCAAGTTTTGTTTTGTTTAGGTTTTTAAATGCTGATGCAGGATATCTACACGGTTGGTTTCCCCAAACTCCCAAGTCACCCTTCGTTTGCTCTTCACTTTCCCTGCGTCATCAGGCATTCAGCACCATTCTGGAGGTTCAGCCTATTTCGCCGGGAACTCCCGAATCCACCTGAATATCCCTCCAAAGCCACCACACCATCGTTAAAACCGAACCATTGTAAAACTCGCCTATTATTGGCGGGATAGGAAGGGAAAGGAAAGGGCGGATTTATACCGATCCACATGATTTTCCAATGGAATCCACACCCCACCCTCACATCGGAACTCGCATTGGTGGCAAACGGCTTCTTACATGTGACCGAGGCCTCAGCACGTGCAAACACAGGGCTAATAATGTAACGAGCACCTCCTATTTATTAAGCGATTTCCTGTCTCTTATAACTGCCTCGCAATTGTGAAACGAAGGCAAAGCAACACAACTTCTTTAAAAAAAACAAAAAAAAACAACGGCTTTGCTCCAAATCCGGATGTCTTCTACAGATTCTTTCTCCAAGACAGAGCTACACGCTGAACCTGAGCTAAATTGAAACATCTCCCGAGAAACAGCTATTACTGTCTAGCTCTGTAGAAAATCAACCCCAGACAGACAGTCCCTCCTCACCACACGGAAACAATCCACAATGAACCACACTGCTACGGTTTTCTCCATCGTTTTCACCTCTCAGCGCCTGACGTTAAAAGCCTCACTTTGGCAGAGTGCAAGCCGCCATCCGTTCCTGACGCCTGTAAACTAGATTATAAACGAAACATTCTACTTACTGCCAACCAACTCGTCCTTTTGTTTGCCGTTTTCCTCTTTATGCAATCGGAGGGGCCGCGTTTTCTTGACAATTAAGCTTTCAAATCGCCTTGTTTATTTCCCCAAATGAAGTTGTTGTTTTCCGAAGCGAAGGGCTGAGCTGGGCGCTGCGCTGCGATCTGCTGAGTTGTAATATGAGTTTCCTGCAATTACTCACTCACAGGATTCTTTTCATTCATAAAAACACAGTCATACAATGACATCATTCTTTCCCCTCCCTCCCCATCTTGGTGAAGGGCACAGACTGAAGAATGGTGAAAGGAAGCTGCCATCTTGGTACTGGGCATTTATTTTTAAAGGGACCATACCAAATGCTTTGCAGTTGGTCGCTAGCCTTCAGAATCAAATGCTTTGATACAAATAGATACTATTTCTGTGCAAAAAGAAAACACTGAAAAATGAGTAGATAAAAATGCTAACCTAGGCTACTACCAAAAACTATATACATTTTGTTTATATCGAGAGGTGTCAATTTACATGATCACTAATTTATTTATTTATTGAATTTATATTGCCGCCTATTTGCCCATGGCGAATATTTTGCCCTACATAATAATTTGCCCTACATCCCACTGCAGAGCAAGGAACCTGCCACATAGCATACAAAAACCCTTCCGGACAGGGGTCTCCAACTGTGGCGACTTTAAGCCTGGCGGACTTCAACTCCCAGAATTCCCCAGCCAGCAAAGCTTTGGGGAATTCTGGGAGTTGAAGTCCGCCAGGCTTAAAGTCGCCATGGTTGGAGACTCCTACTTCAGGAGACTGATGCATACTGGAACTTTCTGGTTCAAGTCATATACACAATGTAGGCTCGTGCATCTGCCTTCATCATTTTTAATGTTAAGTCTTCCAAAACCATTATTGGGCAAAAAAAAGCCACCCCAAGCTTCACTAAAGAGCTACCTCCCACTCCTCCCACCTGCCCATCTTGCCCACCCAACCTGACCTGTATTTCTGTCCTTTTGGCTGCCTTGCAACCTGCCTTGCAGGAAAGCAAACAGTCCAAGAACTGCACGGTTCTAGCGTTGCTTGCCATGTCCTCCAAAGGGTGTGCGGGGGAGGGGGGAAAGCAAAAAAGCAGCTCTAGAACCGCAGTGTAGTGCACAGCCTCACCCCTGAAAGGGCTTCCTGCAAAGCCTCACGAACAGTTTGTGAGGCTTTGCAGGTACACTTCGAACACAAACTGCAGAGTGCACACTGTGCCTCCGGGAAGGCTGTGTCATCCCAGACATCTCTGCTGCCACCCCAAACAGCATCTCCCACACAGTCTCCACATTTGCCTGGGAAGCCACCACTGGCTCCCTGGCCTCATCCAGCGATTGAGAGTACCACACCTCACCATCCTGCAACCTTTTCCTGGCCAGGCCTGGCAAGCTCCGTTTGGCAGACCAGAGACTGGTATGCTAATACACTCACTATATGCATCCCAGGATTGGGCTGTCACCCAGCTCCTGGATTCTGGGCCAGAAGGAAGAAAGCAGTGAAGGTGAGTGAGGGCAACAATGGTGGCAGAGTGCAGGGCCCCCAAAAGGCCGGTGGAAGAATTGAAATGCAGATGGGAGTGTTGAAACACCCCTGTGGTTGTAAGCGCAAGTGGGCTGTACGATTGTAACATTGGGCACGTAAGTCCCTTCATTTAGTGCTGTTGTAACACTGAATGGTTGCTGAATGAAGTCAAGGACTACCTATATATAAGACTCAGTGAAGATCTGTTATATTTGCTTTCATTATACAGGTAGTCCTTGACTTACAACCATTTGTTTAATGACCGTTTGAAGTTACAATGGCACTGGGGGGAAAAGAGGAATTTATGATCAGTTCTTGCACTTAGGACCATTGCAGGATTCCCCACAATCACATGATCAAAACTTGAGTGCTTGGCAACAGGCATGAATTTAGAATAGTTGCAGTGCCCTGCGGTCACATGATCACCATTTGTGACCTTCCCGGCCAGCTTCCAACAAGCAAAGTCAATGAAGGAAGTTGGATTCACATAATGACCATGTGATTCACTTAACATCTGCAGTTATTCGTTTAACAATTGTGGCAAAAAAGATAATAAAATCAGGCTTGATTCACTTAACAACTGTCTTGTTTAACAATGAAAATTCTGATTCCAATTGTTGTCTTGGTTAAGGACTCCCTGTATTCAATTAGCATTTGCTAGAGGCACTATCACTGTTCTGAGAAAGCAAGAAAATCAATTTCCATATCTCTGGGTGGCCGGGGGTAATTTGCTGTGTCTGACTGGTGTGAACTGAAAAAAACAATACCAGATATATGAAACCTAATGCGCTTGAAAGTAAACTAGAAAAAGCTGAAGAGTAAGATGAGAATGTTATGTGAATTCCGAAATTCATTGGACATAGAAACTACAGCATTCATTCACCACATTAATACTGAGGTCTGAAACAGAATCTCTACAATTATTTGAAACATTTTTAATTCTTGTTGGAAAGATACAACCATTTGAATGGATACGTATAGATGAATTCAAAATTACTAAAAGAAAATAGATTTTAGACTGTATAAATATGCTGAAGACTACCTTGTCAAACATCCTGTGGAGTTGAAATTACAATAATGATAGTGAAAGAATGCACACAATGCAGATGCAAAACCTTTTAGATTAAGGTCACATCTGCACAATGCAATTTGCATAGCATGTCCATTTGGAAAAGAAGTTTTACTGGCTTCCCTGAATTCTGTTCACATTTCCATGAATTAATAGTGGCGATTGTCCTTCAATTTTCAAGAACAATTTGTTATATACTTTTTGCTGATCTAACTATTCACAGTTAAAGTGGCCATCTGAGCATCAGCAAAACAAAAAACGGAATTGGGGTGGGAGAGGAATGCATAATAAAATTCTAATACAGATTTTTAATTAAAAATGCATGTGAGCGTGATGCAGTGTGCAACAGCATTGGACTAGGGCTGGGAAATTCCACTTTTCACTCTCAGTCATGAAAACTTACTAAGTTCATCCCTCAGTTCAAGTACTTGCACAGTGGTTGTGACTAGAAAATAAAAACAGATTTCAGGTTCATTCACAGGGGCTGAAGTGCTTTGAGAGCTCAAGGAAGAAAGGTGGAATGTATAATATAATCTATACATACATTTAAAATGTCACCTCTAATGTTCACAAAAGCTCAGAAGTTACATTTAATAACAAATTAATCTAATAAGTAACTAAATAAAAATAATATATACAATTACTATTTCAATAGTAATATACTGTAGTATGTCTGACTACAACAGAGAAAGCTGTAGTGAAGTGAATGTTGTATCAGTTAATTTGTGTATGTCCAGGGGCTGTTGTTGTATCATCTGTTCAATACAATGAAAAATCAGTTCCACCTGATTTTCTTTGAACAAGATTTGAGTTCAGCAGTCCTAGAAGATGGAGAGATTCTTCTGAGGCACATCAAAGTCTTTTGGTGAAGTAAAGTATCTGAGTATTCTAACAAGAAGTCTACTACTTAAAAATGAAGAAGTCATGTCTGTAGTTCATAGCTTCATGATAGCTGAAAGATGACGAGGACATGGTAGGGCCAAAATGCTAATGGTTTTAAAGGCCAAAATCATTACACCAAACTGTACCCATCACTCTAGAGAAAATAAAATCCCAAAGTAATGTAATGAAGTCTACAGCAGCAAAAAACTGGACCAATGTTTATCTCAAAACAATAAGTATAGCTTCAAATGTCTTGCTTCAGAATAGATATTTCTACAGTATATAATGGAGAACCTTTACTTATAATCAATTAATTATAATTGAATAATATAATTATATAATAATATAACCAAATAATTATAATCAATTAATATTGGTATGACAACTACCCTACTGGATCACCATTTCAGAGATACAGAATTTCCTAAACAGAGACATGGGATGACCAAGGATAGGCAAAAAAAGAAGTGGGAGCAGGTGTGATTTCCTGCCAGCTTCCCCACTGAGTTTCTTCATGGGAATTCTGCAGGGAGCATCAGAAATCTTCCCTTTCTAGCAGGCAGCTAAGGGTCTGCTGGAGATGGAGGAAAGTGCAAGGGATTGGAAGACTTGCTGGAAAACTGTTATAGAACCCTGAAAACAAAGATGACCTGATTGCAACAGCAGCCAGTAGCATTGAAGAAGCCACAATTTCCCCAAATTTCATTCTCTCGGGAATCATGGATCCCAGAATTTAGACACTTTCTGTAAATTAATCCATTTTAGATAACCTTATTTCAACAGTTGCCTTCTGGTGCACCATTTCACCCAGTTAAAGGTCATGATGAGAATTCTGGTAGCATATAGATTAGATTTGTATTACTATTAAATTCCAAAATAGATCAGATTGCAGTGTTGGAACGTCATCTTTTAAAGCAGGTTATGGGAAACTGTTTCAACAATCACATGTTTTCAGAATGAATGGGCTGTTTTCCAAAGCACTGCAATTTACTTCTACAGGGCTTATATTGCTTCCTCTAAAAATGTTTGAATAGCTCAAGGCTTGGCACTTGGATAGATCTGTTTGAGTTTATCTTTTCTAGTGTTGGAGTACAGTATATCTGCAGTTAGCATGCCCATCATGCAATGCTTTACAATTTCCTTAAAAAGGTCCGTTGTCTTTCATAGCCTCAGAAACAGCATTCAATGTCACAAAGCAAGAACAGGAATATTGTGTAGGTAAACATCTAATTCCAAATTTGCACCCAGACCTGACTCACCTCTAGACGTGGCTAAGAAAATGTTGCTATTTAAACTCAACCAACAGGTTCTATTTCTTCATACCAAACCAAACAACTTTGTTTTGTTTTTTAAATGCTCAGCTTCATTTTTACATAACAGCAACATAAAGTTAAAGATAGGAATATGTGCAAGGAAACTCTGACTTTTTAAAAGGATAAAGGCGAGGTTACAACTCTTTAGCTGTAATGTATTAAAAGCTGGAGATGCTGTAATTTTCATGACTAACAATAGTCACTAAAATGAGTAAGAATCACCACACCATGTATAATTATGCAATACAGAATCATCCGTGTGTAGGAAATTCATGTTTTATCACACTTATTTTTATCACACCTTTTGTCACACTGATTAACAGAACTAAGGGTACCTAAATGGTGCCCATTGGTACTAAATTGAATAAAATGATATTAAATATATACTGCATGATTTTTAAACACAGTTTGTTAAAACACAAATGTAAAGCTACATCGAGACATCATGTAATATTTATATATACACATACATTATATCACAATGTTTGGGTGCATAACACAACACAAATTAAGTTGTATCATACTATACTGAGTGAACCCAAGCTAAATCTTTAACAATGTTGCTGGATTAATGTTTTTGTAACAAAGTATTCAAAATTGTAGAATTTAAACACAATCATTGATAATTACAGTGATAAGGATATAATGTCATCTCTGCTAAATTGGTGACAATGGTTTACCTACTACAGTAGACAACCAATTCCTGTGGGAATTAGATTCTTGCTCAACAACCTTAACAATTGGAACTGGGTTTACAAAACATTCTACTCTGAAAGGTGATTGGATATTTTATCAAGAGACCCCAACCAACCTAATCAGTTCAACGAACCATGACTTCATTATCATGCATTAATGTGTTCTAAAATATAACCTTTGATTTTGGAAATATATAGGCACATTTGATAATCATACCCTTAATAAATGTGAGGTTCTTACCAATATCAATCACAGACTTTCATTAGGTTTTTTTTTTTGCAACGTTCAATTGCAAGTGCAGCTATTCATGAGTTAATGTAATGAGATAGTTTAAAGATATTTTGTTTATCCTCCAATATACCAGTTTCATGGTGCAGAGAAGGCAAAATACTGTACACTTATTTTTAATTTTCCAATCTTTATCACATCAAGATGATTAGAAGTATAAACTCGGGTGCTCTTCAGATCAGGTTTTTGAAAAAGAAATCTACTAAAAGTTAATTTACAAATGTTTTACTATACTTCATTTTATTGCACTTTGCAGATTTTTTTTACAAGACCTTCCAACAGCAAAAAGATTATAACTCACTGAAGGCTCAGCTGATGATTACCATTCATTAGCAATATTTTAAATTAAGAAATCTACATCTTTTTATAGTGAACACTTTATAGACTCAATAATATAGATATCACCTTTATATGCACTGGAAAATAAAAAAATAGCATGACTTTATTATGATATTGACTTTATTGTAGGAGTCTGAAACAAAATCTGCAACATTTCTGAAGTATGCCTGTAATAGTTCAGCAATAGTGTGATTAAAAGTCCCCCAAATGATTAGACTAAAATTTAATCAAGACAACCATTTTCTTCCCTACCAGCGACACAAGATGCCTTCAGAAAACTTAATAAAAGATTATAAATTCAAAAGCCTCCTTTTGAGCACACCCTCCTCAACAGTATATGGCCATTAGTAACTGATACTCCCTTTGACTGTGGATAAATTTTCAGGAGGGTTTCCATTTCTCAAAACTGAACAAACCCTTGATTTGGCTCAACTTCTATCCATATATTTTGCTCTGCAGCATTTAGAAGCGTTTTTTGTCAGTTATTTTTTACAGGTTATCCTTGACTTACAACCCAAAATTTTTGTTGCTGAGCAAAACATTATAGCCATTTTATGACCTTTCTTGCCACAGTTGTTCGTGAGGATAGTGCAAGTCTTAAGTGTGAAAAATGATCATGTCACTTTTTTCAGTGCCATTGTAACTTTGAAAGGTCACTAAATAAACTTGTAAATCGAGGACTATCTGTACTACACATAAAAGAGCCTACAATGCCTTTAACCCGAAATCAATTTTAGCCTGTGTATCAGTCTCCCGTTAGAAGTGCTAGCAGGTATTGCATTCAATGGAATTTAGGCTTTGCAACGTTCGCACCAAATCAGAAAACTGATTTTTTTTTATCTATATCCCGTCTTTCATTCTGAGTCTTTATTTTGCATCTTCCCATTGTGATCCTCTGTATACATTTTCTCCCGTTCTTCTAGTCCTGAATGCGCTTATTATTTGCTGTCGACTCAACAAACACGAACACCGGGTAAGATGGAAGCAGTACTCTACGCCCTAACCTCCCCCCCACCTTTACAAATATGGCGGCTTCGGTTCTACAGTATTAAACTAACATCCGCCCGGCAGAAAGATGGTTGATCTGCCTCCTTCTACGTCGAAGCGTAATGGTCGTTCGCGCGTAATCACGTCGCCCTCTTAAGAAGATCCTGTGAGTCAACAATGAGGCGGCAGTTCGTGATTGGTAGAGGCGCGACCACGTGAGGCAACTGGGACTTTGTTGGCGGAAATAGCTGGGTGAATAATAGCTAAATAGGAGGTGAGTATCTCTGAACCCTGCAGCGCAAAGTAGGAACTTAGTTCAGACGAGTTTTCGCATATTCATGCTTTTCCTTCCAACTTTCCTTTTTAAAATCCTCCAAAGAAGGCCTTTTGCTGTTAAGAAAAAGGAAATTGTGTTAATCTATTGCAGATTATCTAAAGATGCCTCTATAGATTCCGATATACCTCCAATCCGTTATTTGATTCTGAGGTTGGAGAATTATAATACTTCGATATAATCCTTAATTTCCTACAGGGTTGCTTCTTTGTTATGTTACAATCGACAGCCACTCTGGAGATGGGGACTTCCAGTTTAACCACAACAAAAGCTTTTGAAGTGCAAAATTTTTATCTCCTGCAAAATCTTAAAGGAAAAAGAATCATGCCAAGAAAAAGGATGATTTCTACATTAAACTGCATCGATTGCATTATATTGTGGTTAGCTAGAAATTAGGTTATTTGGTTGGCTTGGTGAGGTACATGAATTTAATTGTTTTTTGAATAAACAACGCATTCTTTCAAGGGCTTTTAAGTGACTTCAATCATTTCAACGTTAAGCACAGGTCACTTAATTAGAGGAAAACAAAGGTTAATATTTCCCGTTCCTTTGTTTGAAAGGCAAAAAGTATTGTAAAAATCACCTGACAGAATAATTAAATTTTTACACTGATAATCACACTTTTCAAAATTTAGGAACGTGTGCATTTGCTACATTAAACAAGAGTTAGATAATTTATATCATCTTGAGGAAATTTATAAGAACTTTCTTTTTAAAAAGCAACTGGTTCTGAAAGAGTTTTAGCCTCAATTTGAAAAAAAAAGATTTTGCATAATGGTACAGAGTACCACTAAATTCAATAGTAAGGAAATATAGCTATCCTGATGTGGAAAGTTTTCTGTTTGTTCCATGGTAATCCTTTTAACATGAAGAGCAATTTTCTGAATTACCATAATAAAAGCATGGATATAATTCAAAAACATGGAAATAAAGACAAATGGAAATATTTGTGATGTCAAAAATGCTTTATCATAATGTTCCTTAAATGCTTTCCCTTGTTCCATTGTGATGCAATAATAATCTTCCCCTAGAAAGATGCAAGATTGATTAATAAAGAAACAACAAATGCTACTCTAAAAATTCCAAGTTTAGCTTTCAAGACTTTGCTGTTTTTTAAAATATTGTTGAATTAGATTTCACTTCTCCTTTTCCCATGTATATTTTTATAGAGTGACTGCTATATTTTTTCTTGGTCTTGTGAAAGTAAAACCATAAAAGTAAAGAAGTCTGAATAAAAATTAGGCACATTTGTTTTTGTCATTGATTTGTATACTCAAAGCAAATCTGTAGTATGAATCCTTGACATAGAATCATTAAAAAAGCATACAAGTCCAGCATAGAATATGTTATGTTGTACATTGCAAATAAATATACAGTGCTGAATTTGATCAAATATACTAGAGATTGGATATGGCTTCCCAATTTTTGCATGCCAAGGAAATGTAATTATATATAAATCAACATTATTTGCCATTTTTTCTTACAAAAATATTTATGAAAATTAATAGAAGAAAGTAGAACATAATTATACAAATAGAAACTACAGCAACCAAATCTATCTAACATTATTTCAGATAGAATATAATCTGTAGAATGTTTTTGGTTCAAAATTTATTTTAAGAAAGGACTCAAATTATGTATCTTAAATAGTAGAATCTACCGCATACTTTCTATCTTTCCTTAATGAAGAACTGTGCCATGCCACAAAATGCACTGATAAAAATCATTGCACTGGAGAGTTAATTTTGTGGAAAGCTGCCCGCATGGAAGTGAGAAAGGAAGACCTTCACCAGTTGAACGGCAGAATGATTCTGTAGTGTATAATGCAAGTAGAACAGACATGTTTTCTACAAACTAAATCCTCCAAAGCTAAAACAGCCCCAAAATCTCAGTACTGATGTTTTCATTGCAACTAACCAGTGCAATAAATCACTTGTAACTGGAAAATATTAAATCTATCCAATGTAGTTTGAATTATGGATTACTTACATTGTATTCAATATTTTCCATTTTAAAATCAAGTTAATGTATTAACCCTGTCTTAATAGGAGTTTGCCTTTGGAACCAAACTCTTAGATCTGTAACACATGCATAGGTATTAAGTAAAGTTTTCTTTTCAAGTAAATTCTATTCACTGTAGACTTGTAATGTGGAAATAGAGTTACAAGCCAAAGTATTGTGTTCATTTAAGAAGACTGGTGATAAAAGACCATTTTTCAGCCTATTGATTTCTGGTCCTCTTGTTTTGGCTATTTAGTTGCTTCAACATTAGATGGATTTCATAGTAGATATTTCTAACCAGAGTCTGCTTGTTTGTTTGCTTATTTATTTTATCTGTTTATTTTTTGTAAATAACTCATGGTGGTGAACACACACAGTACTCCTTTTTCTCCTATTTTCCCCACAACAACAACCCTGTGAGTTGAGTTGGGCTAAGAGAGAGTGACTGGCCCAAAGTCACTCAGCTAGCTTTCTTGCCTAAGGTAGGATTAGAACTCACAGTTTCCTGGCTTCTAGCCTGGTGACTTAACCACTAAACCAGGCTGGCTCCCCAATCTAATGAACATAAGTAGTGGGCTCCAGACAAGTAAGGTTGATCCATTTCCCATCATTACACACTGCAGTAACTGATGGAGAGAGAATAAAGAAATGGTTATACTAGATCAGAGTTAGTGAATGTCCATGATATTGTAGGAATAAAGATTTTTTCTTTGTTACCAGAGTATTGAAACAAGATTGTTTAGGACATATTTTTGAGGCATGCAGTTCTTTGGACGACTTGTCCATACTCTGAACAACGTCACCAACTTGTTCACAAACCCTTACCGAGTAAAGGAGGTATCTCTGACAGAATATGCTTCTCGGAACATGGTTAAACAAGACGATAGGATAATCCTGTATGAAAACAGTTCAGCTCGATCCTGGGACTGTCTGCTTATTAATCCTCAGAATCAAAGTTCTGCCTTACGGTAAGTAACAGATTTTTATTTTTTTAAAAATATTTTACCTGAGAAGTATGGAAGTTCTCAAGTCCTCTGAACAATTATGTGAATGATGGCTTGGAAGGCATGTAAAGGAACAGAAATATGCTTGCTTCCTGTTTCTGGTTGCTGTAAGTGAGTGAGGGAATTGGCTTCGTCTGCAGCTGACACAGAAACAAAAAGAACTGGATTTGTTCTTACCTGTTTGATAAAAGGTGGTTCTTTGCAAACTTACAAAGAAATTAATATGTGCTTCAGCACGACTAGTTTCTTAGTGAGGTATTACATAAATTTGCAGCCCAATAACTTTGGGATTATGTATATAGAAAACTTTTTTTTCTATCCTTTAGTAGGGCTATATGTTGTGAAAGAATAAAAAAAGAAAACATTTAAACTTCTGTTGCCATTTTCTCTTTATATTTGTGAATGATTGTTCAGCTTCCCTGTATTCTTTATGCTTATAATCATCTCTTTGTAATAAAGTCTATATGAAATAGATTGTGAGGTGCCCCGATTTCTGTTCTCTCAAATTTCAAGATTTGGGGAGATTTTCTTCTTGTTTTGTGGCAGATGCATTGACTTCCAGTTTATTAAAGCCATAGAAAGGTTATAAAAGGTTATAAAAGTTCTAAAACCATTTCCTTTGTAGGCTTTTTCAAGTTGACAGTGAACCAAGTGCACGTGAATATTTTGATCTGTACGCGAAGCAGTTGCGTCCCTTCTATGAGAGCTATCGTGATCCTTTGCCTCTGGAAACTGTGCAACAGCTGACGGACTGTTTGCGAAGCCACCCCGGCTGGTCAATAGCACACATAGCTGTAGAGTCTGGACTTCTGGGAAGCTTCCGACACAATCTCATTCTAAGGTATGATGTGGAATGGATCTTTTGTACCACATTGATTGACATGGGCACAACCCCCCCCCCCCCCAAGCATCACCTGTGGCGTAATCAAATCTGAGCTGGAGAGATCAGGAGAGATCTTGGTTTATAACAAGGTGATAATGTCAATGAGCACACAAGTACTGGTAGTCCTCAACTTATAACCACAATTGAGCCCAACATTTCTGTTGCTAAGTGAGGCATTAGTGAATTTTGCCCCATTTTATGACCTTTCTTGCCACAATTGTTAAGTGAATCGCTGAAGTTGTTAAGTTAGTAACATGGTTGTTAAGTAAATCTGGCTTCCCCATTGACTTGGCTTGTTAGAAGGTTGCAAAAGGGGATCCCATGAGCCCAGAACATTGCAACCATCATAAATATGAATCAGTTGCTAGTGTCTGAATTTTGATCGTGTAACCATGGAGATGCTGCAGGGGATGTAAGTGTGAAAAACTGTCATAAGTCACTTTTTTCAGGGCCATTGTAATTTTGAACAGTCACTAAATGTACCTGTATGTTTACTGACTACCTGTACTGGGAAAACAAAAGATATTCATATTGGAATCATTGGTAAGGGAACTGAAAATAAAACAGCCAAAATCTGCAAAAAACAAAACAAAACCCTAAAATATAAGTAGTTAGAGTAGCTCCTCTCCAAGAAAAAGCCACAGGGTTTGAATTTTTTTTCCGACTTAAGCAAAGATAGGTCAGCAGAGTCCTCATAGAATTCTATAAAACTATGCTTGGAGAAAGAAATATTTTTCTCCCTCCCTTTTAACCTTAAAACTCAGGCTCATTCATTAAGTTAAATATATGGAGATTCAAGCCTAATCAAAAGTATTATGAATTGACTTAATAATTATAATTAAACTATGGAATTTGCTGCTACGAGTTGTACTGATGGCCACCAATTCAGGTGGTTTTAACAAGGGAGGGGACAGACAAGAATGGGCTTTCGGTGATTACAGTAGTAGGTTTGATGGCTGTTTACTATCTTCATAACCATGGACAGCGTGGTTCCCTTCAGTGCCAACTGCTAAGAAGCAATGGTGGAAAAGGCTTCCAACCTCCTCCTGCGCATGTCTCTTAACTTCCTGAATGCATATGATTAGACAGCATGTGACAGAGAATGCTGGACTGGATGGACTTGACCTAGTAGGTCCCTTATTTTTCTTTGGCTCAGTCTATTGTATGAACCAGTTGGCTGTGCTTTTTAGTAAAGAGTAGTTTAGCATGAAGTGTGAACCCAGTTGTTTCAGATAGACTTTAAAGATCTTTTTTTTTCTTTAATGAAATAAGCTAGCCCACAAAACATAGCAAGTTATGTGTTTGAATCCATAACCTAATACTTTATACTGGTTTATTAAAACAGTACCTTATACTATTATCAGAAGACAAATCTGAATTATTACAGAACACAATAGAATTAAGATCTAAAAATTGCTGAGAGAAATTGCAAATTTCCAATTTTTGACCTATTGCAGATTATTCAGAAGCTTACTGCTAAATAACAATGTGTCTTCCACTTATGTGTGGTTCAAGGTATTTCAGCAACAAAGATCTAGACTCTTGTGTTTTAGCTCTTAAATAAAAAGGCTGTAATTTTTAAAGGATTTTTCTATCATATTGAAAATTGTAGTGGAATCAAAATACTTTACAAATATATAACAAGTAATTTTGCAATGTGGCCTGAATCACAATAAATAGAAGAGCAGCAGAATTGAAAAAAATCAGATAATGCCGCAACTTTTGGAAAAAAAAATCTGTTGGGTAGGCCAGCTTGTACATAAGACTGCATACCTAGCATTACTCTATCTTTGTTTTAGCTGCATAAATAGCAACAGTTCTGACAATGAATGCACCCCACTTCACTTAGCCTGCCAAAAAGGTGATTTTGAATGTCTGAAGGAGCTGATGGAGGAGTGCCATGCCCGTGTTGACCTGACAGACAAAAATGGAGAAACTGTCTTTCACTATGCTGTTCGAGGGAGCAACCCAAAGATTATAGAGGTGAGGGTTTAAGGAGTCTCCCACTTGTAATAAAGTCTCTTTGTCTGTTATCTCTTCCTAGGAGTATAGGAGAAGCAGAAGTTTGCATCCATGCATCTATCTATATATGCATTCTCTAGATATGGGCACATATATGCACTCTTTAGAGAAAATGTTTAATGCTTCCCTCACGTATCTAATGTATCCTTCTGTCCATCCATTTCCCTGTCCCCCAAATTCCCACAATGGTTTTGAGGGCCTCTTTGCAGAAATAATGTGTCAATTTGAACACTGAAGAAAAGTAAGTAGCAACTGTTTGGGTGATGATAAGAATTTGATTATTTGCAGATTATTTTCTGTTTGGATATAACATGAACAATTAGGTCTTTGATATGGTTAAAAAAACCCAGTTCATTTGAAGCTAAAGTGGTTAAAACCAGGTATTAAATATATTTGAACCAAAGTTGTCCATCAATATTTGCAACTACCAAAAAATCTTTCCAAGTCGCAAGGCAGAATAAATGAAAATTATTTTCAAAATTAATTTATTTACAGATGAAGAACTAATAATACTTTTATAATCATATAAGACTTTAAGATACCTTCTACCCTATTTTTGATGGATAATGGAATACACAGTAAAAAATATTTAGCATTAAAGTGGAAATTTGAAAAATGAAGTATTAACATAAACCTTGAAGGAGAAATCAGCCTACCATTTGATAATTACAAATGTTCTTAGAATAGCAATCATCTGTATCATTTTGAATTATTCAGTGAAGGGATTTATAACATACATATAGATTAATGAGCAAAAATAAAACATGGAAAGGATAAAAATGCCCTACATACCTAAGAAGAATATACCACCAGACTGTTTCAAGAACTGTAAACACAGAAGTATATCCTACTGTAAAGAATGCACATTAGTTGATTCCTTTCTCTTCTTAAAAATTGGCAACATCCATATCTAAATAAATTCTCTTTTATATACATATCAAGAGGTTTGAAATGAGTCTGAGAAATGCTAAAGCATTTCCTTAGATAAAAATAAAATATTGACTGGGAAATTGGGGAGAACACATATTGAAGGAGGAATTGAAAGTCACAAGTGAACTTGTTTCATTGTTCAGCTCCTGGGCAAGAAAGCAACTGTTGCTTTGGACCATCTGAATGATGAGGGGACGAGTCCATTGCACCTGGCCTGCCAGTTGGGCAAAGAAGATGCAGTCTACTCTCTTCTTAAGGTTCATGCCAAGTGCAATAACTTGGGCGCACTGGGTTATCCCATCCACACTGCTATGAAGCATTCTCAGAAAAGGTAACTTTGCCTAGCTTTGTTGAGACCAGAATATAAGGAATTCTGAAAATAGAAAATCCTATATGTTAACCAACTGTACTGAATGCACTTGTTCCCCTTTATTTTATGGTCAAACCAGGTATATCTGTATTCAAGTAACGTAACTCATCTATGTGATATTCCTTCCAGATCATGCGTGCCTGGATATTTTTTGAGGCTGATCTTTATTAGATTCCCCAATATAGACTATATTGAGAAGAATGATTATTTCAAATATCATTTATACTTATTCATCATCTACCTGGCTGGTCACTCATTGGACAGCCACTTAAATATGAGACACCAGTGTACTGCAACTGCAAAAAAAGCCAATGCAGTCCCAAGTTGCATCAACAGAAGGATAGTATCAAGATCACATGAAGTCTTAGTACTGACTTATACTGCACTGGTAAGACCACACTTGGAATACTGTGTCCAGTTTTGGTCAGCACGTTACAAAAAAGATGTTGAGACTCTAGAAAGATTGCAGAGAAGCGCTGCAAAGATTATTAGGGGACTGGAGGATAAAACATACAATGAATGGTTGCTGAAGCTGGGTATGTCTAGTCTAACAAAGGGAAGGACTAAGGATGACTTGATAATCTTCCAGTATTTGCTGCCACAAAGAGGAGGGGAGTCAACCTAATCTCCAAAGTTCCTGAGGGCAGACAAGAAGTAACGGATGGAAACTTACAGAAGAGAGTTCCAACTTAGAACTAAGGAGAAATTTCCTGACAGTGAGAACAATTAATCAGTGGAATGGCTTCCCTCCAGAAGTTGTGGATGATCCATCACTGGGTTTTTTTAAAAAAGTGATTGGATAGCCAGTTGTCCAAAATGGTACAGGGCAGCAGCCTCCAATCTTTTGGGCACCAGAGACTGGTTCCATGGAGAGACGTTTCTGCCACTTGCATTCTGCAGATGGGGCTTTGCTTGTTTTCATGGCCCGGTTTCTGGCATACCATGCTGCTGCGGCCCAATGCCAGTCCACGGACTGAGGGTTGGGGACCCCAGGTATAGGACCTCCTGTTTGAGCAGGTTGTTGAATTAGAAGACCTCTAAGGTCTCTTCCAACCCTGTTATACTGTTACCTTCAGTTTCCATCAACTAAGACCTGAGAAAAGAAATGCCATGCTAAAAACAAGGAACAGAGGGCCACTGCACACTTTACTCCGTGGGTCCTGAGGAAAGAAAAATTATTCCTCTTTCCCACTCAATATGAAATGGAAATAAAATGTTTGACTATTTTCCCTCTCCAGCTTCAAGTCCATGTTTTTATTTGCTGCTGAGAGCATTTCTCCAAACCCCTGAGTGATTCATTGAAAGCCTCAAAACCATCCGACCACCTTTTCTGTTGAAATATCTGGTAGGCCAACTGAAATCCCAAAGGCAAGATGCAGGGTGAGATAAGAGTGACAAATGGGGAAATGAACTGTCTACAAAGTCAGCAGAGGGACACCCTCGTCTAGAAAAGAGATTTTCTCTGGTTTCAAAGACATGAAAAATCCAAAGCTCTTCAATCAAACCTAAGTCATGCATGCTTCCAAACATGATTTCAAACTGGGAAAGGTTCTTTATTTATTTGATTGTTGATCGCTTACAAGATAATAGGTATAAGAATAAACATGAATATGAATACAGGAAATAGGTATGAGTAAATGGAGACAATAGGACATGGATGGTAGGCATGATTGTGCACTTACGCACGCCCCTTACAGACCTCTTAGGAGTGGGGTGAGGTCAATAGTGGTTAGTTTGAGGTTAAAGGAGTGGGGGTTAGAGGATGTAACAACAGAGTCAGATAGTGCATTCCAGGCATTGACCACTCTGTTGCTGAAGTCGTATTTTCTGCAATCAAGTTTGGAGTGGTTTACATTGAGTTTGGATCTGTGCTCTTGTATTGTTGCAGTTGAAGCTGAAGTAGTCATTGACTGGTAGGACATTGTAGCAGATAATTTTGTGTACTACGCTTAGTGGTACACAAAATTCTTGCATGGAAGTTTCCTCGAAATATGCATCTTTCACACACACCAAACTGGCAGTAATTTGCTTGTCTGAATTAAAAGTGGTGCTTTGTAGAATGCTGATCTCATACCCACTTTTGTGCTGAATGTGGCTGCAAGATGGCAGAACACACAAGAGTGCTGGGAGTATCCCTTCACAATTAAGTAAGTGGGGAAATTCCATGATTGCTCTAAAAGACTGCTGTATAACATACCAGCTTGAACAGGGGTGGGGTGGGGGGAGGAGAGAGGCATGCCAAAACCAGAAATCACTTTTAAAGCTGCCGCCTGCACCAGTAACCGTGAGTAAACCAGAGCCCCCAAAACAAGCCCCAAAATGCTAGATTCTGAAGCTGTGGAGCCCTAATAATGCTGGCGGAGCTCCTGCTAACTTATCCGGAGCCCACCTCTCCTTCCCCAGAGAAGCGAAGCTCTTTCCATCAAGCCCTATTAACCACACTGGTGGAGCTCTTGAACTGGATCACTTGGAGCCAGCGGAGTGCAAACAACGTACCTTCATTTAAATCCCTCACACAGCTGATAGAAGTATCTTCCACGCCAGACAACGTGTTTCCATTAATATCCCCCACACAGTTTCCCCGGAGCCACATTGGACAGCTGGCAGGGAGAAACAAGGAGGGAGGAGAAAGCCCTGAGGCTCTTAGGAGCTGAAAGTCACCCTGGACGGGTGTATTTGTAAACAGCAATGGATCATGCCCAGTATTTCCTAGCCGTACCACAGATAACAACAATGATCTAATACATATCGATTTTACAGAAGACAATGTTGAAAAAGCACTACGCAATCTAAAACCATCTCTATCTATTGGACCGGATGGAATATGTGCCTACTTCTTAAAAAAGCTATCCACTGCCATAGCCGAACCTCTAAGCATAATCTTTGAAAAATCTTTCAGGACCAGCTCCTTGCCTAACCTATGGTCACAAGCCACGGTCATCCCCATTTTCAAAAAGGGAGACCCCAGCCTATTTGAAAATTACAGACCAATCTCTTTATGCTGCGTCACCTGTAAAGTCATGGAATCAATTATTAACCAATCCATTATCCTCCACTTAGAGACAAACAACCTACTCTCCAATAAACAATTTGGTTTCAGGAAAAAACTATCATGTAATCTGCAACTCTTACACTGCAAAAACATGGACTACACAACTCGATCAGGGCAAAGCAATAGACGCAATCTACATAGACTTCTGTAAAGCCTTTGATTCAGTGGTACACGGCAAACTACTCCTAAAACTAAAATCTTATGGTATCTCTGGACAACTGCATAACTGGATAGAAACATTCCTGTCGAACAGACAACAAATGGTCAAAATTGGGAGTGTCCTGTCAAATTCTGTACCTGTCAATAGTGGTGTTCCCCAAGGCAGTGTTCTAGGACCAACTCTCTTCATACTCTACATAAATGACCTCTGTGATCATATTAAGAGCAACTGCGTTCTTTTCGCTGATGATGTAAAGCTGTTCAATACCACAGACAATACTGCTACCCTTCAAAAAGATCTTGACTATGTATCAGAATGGTCAAACAAATGGCAACTTCAAATCTCAACAAATAAATGCTCTGTCTTACATATTGGCAAAAAAAATATCAGAAAATAAAATACAAACTGAATAGTCAAGATCTTGTTGATGATCCAAGCTCTGTAAAGGACCTTGGAATACTCATCTCTAATGATCTAAGTGCTAGAGCCCACTGTAACTACATAGCCAAAAAGGCATTAAGAGTTGTTAACGTAATCCTACGTAGCTTATTCTCTGGTAATATCACACTACTAACTAGAGCAGGGGTCTCAAACACAATTTACCTGGGGGCCGCTGGAGGCAGAGTCTGAATGAGGCTGGGCCGCATAATATTATACTTTATATTATACTTTATATTCATATTATACACTAATATTATACTTTCATATCACGGTGGGGGCCATAGGATATCGTCCTGCGGGCCGCAATTGGCCTGCGGGCCGCAAGAATGAGACCTCTGAACTAGAGCATACAAAACATTTGCTAGACCAATACTTGAATACAGCTCATCAATCTGGAACCCACATTACGTATCTGATATTAACACAATTGAGAAAGTCCAGAAATATTTCACAAGAAGAGTTCTCCACTCCTCTACTCGTTGTAGAATAACTTATGCCACCAGACTTGAAATTCTAGACCTAGAAAACCTTGAATTATGCCGTCTTCAGTCCGATCTAAGTATAGTATTCATACATTAGTAATCATACATTGCAGTGTCCTACCTGTTAATGAATACTTCAGCTTCAACCATAACAACACAAGAGCACACAATAGATACAAACTCAAGGTTAACCACACCAAACTTGATTGCAGGAAATAAGACTTCAGCAACAGAGTGGTCAATGTCTGGAATACTCTACCTGACTCTGTAGTTTCTTCCCCAAACCCCAAAAACTTTAACCTTAGACTGTCTACTATTGACCTCACCCCTTTCCTAAGAGGTCTGTAGGGGGCGTGCATAAGCGCACCAATGTGCCTACCGTCCCTGTCCCATTGTTTCTTTTATTTTTCTTATATGTACCCATTTCATGTATTCATAACTATGTATATACTTATACTTATTATCTTGTAAGCAATTGACAAATCAAATATATAAAAATAAAATAAATAAATCTGTTGTCCATAGCCCCATCAGTTGGGTTACAGGAGTATGTTTGTGTTAGTGGGAAGAATTGCCTCCATAGAAAACACACTGAAATATACCTCTGGTCCAAAGGTTTTAATAAAACTCTTGTAAGATGCTCAGTGGACTCCAGCAGATTGTGGCAGAAGGCGAAGTCTGGCAAAAGCGGGGAAGTTCCACCGTCAAGATAACAGTGCAGCAGACAGTATAAGAAAGGCAGGGAGGACAAGAGGGGACACATGAGTGAACACGAGTGATAATGCAATGAAATCAGAGGATATGATGATTCAAAGGTATTTCAAAGTTGCTTAATTATATTTTGAAATTGGCTTTCTGCATTCCCAATAGGAATCTTAAGGCTTATAACATACATGCTTTATGCGCTTGCCGTTGGACCACTGAAAAATGATTCCATTCTTACTGAAAATGCAAATATTTATAAAGCTGACGAGGGCATCTGTATGGCATCTTTTGTTTATTTCTCCTTCCTTTTTCTTCCAGATGTGCAGAAATCCTACTTGATAAAGAAATCAACCAGATTCAGTTTCTGGACCCACGATATGCTGCTACACCCCTTCATTGGGCCAGAAATGCAGAGGTGAAAATGTACAATATCATTAGGGATGATAAATCATTTATTTTTAATTTTGTTTTTACTACCCGGGAGCCTTATTCTCCTGGGAATAATTCTTTTCCCCAATCCATTGCTAACATTTCATTGTCTATGAACCAAGACAAAAAGGCATATAATTCATTAAAGGTATGTCTTTGGTGCCATAATTCAAAAGGGTAATGTTAGAATTCTGGTTAAAAAAACAAAATTAAAACCCCTAGTTAATTTAGTTATTGAAGGCATAAGAGCAGTGTCTTTGATTCTTCTTGTCAGAAAATTGCACAAATAAAGTTTGGGCCTCTCTCAGAATATTTTAAAAAGCTGCTGTTATGGTCAGCTCTGTTTTTCATTTTTACACACTAAACCCTAGAAAACAAAGTATGAGAGGAAAGGTTATTGGAACCTTCAAGAAGAATTGTATTTTGTAGATTGACTGAAATACATTTTGAGGTGCTTTCTTGTTACGTAATTAAGTCTAGATCAGAGGTTTCCAAACTTGGCAACTTTAAGACTTGTGGACTTCAACTCCCAGCATTCTCCAGCCAGTCTAGATAGTAGTTGTCTTGTTCAAATGTTGATATGTGACTGCAGAGGAGCAGCTGCAGCAGCCATAACTTTGGGGACCAGGTACAACTACCATTTGTTTAGTGCAGTCATAACTGAATGGTTGCTGAATGAATGGTCATAACTTGAGGACTATCTGTAAAGGAGAATGGTTTGGTAACTAAAATATAATTGTTTTTAAAGAGCTGCAAATATTTAAATCATGAAAAATAATCATAGAAGAAGCTCTTGGAAGAAGAGAAGGGCACATGCTGCAATTCCTATTTGTGGTTTCTCCCTCTCTGGCTCTAGATGACTCGGATGCTTATTGAGTATGGCTGTGAAGTGAATGCCCTCAGTGCATCAGGGGAATCGGCCCTTCATATCGCTGTGCGGCGTGGGCGTTTTGATTGCACAATGGTGTTGTTGACGCATGGAGCTATGCCAAACACTAAAGAGAAGAATGGCAACACACCGCTTCATCTGGCCATGCAGGTGGGCTTTTCATCGTTTGGATGTTTTTCTAGCAGATGAGAGAGGTGCTTTCTTTCTGAAATGCACAGAGCAGAGGGTGGACACAAGGTACTTCTGCAAGACCTTTGACTCTTTTGCAGCAAACAACCTAAATTTTTCACTAAAGTTTTCTAGCAACAGAACTAACAATGTGTCCTCCTTGGCTTTAACAAAGGAAGCTTGCTTTGCATGTGTGAAAGAAAAAGTAAACTACATTCTCATAACTTAAAACCTGTCTTTGGTTTCAAGCTTCTTTAAACCTGTCTGTATGTCTTTTATACCAATTTCCAGTCGGTAGAGTTCAGTGTTTTTGTAAAAAAGAAGATAGAGCCAACAAATATAAGCCATGCTCATCTTTGCAGTGAGCATACTTTCCAATTTTATTATATATATCACCCGTCACTTGATCCAATACGTTTTTATATTTATTTATCTCATCACCACCATTCTAATCCAGATAAACCAGCTATTCTACCAAAAGAAGGTTGGAGATCCTGATCTGATAAGCCAATTGGCAGTTTGGATTGTGAAAAATCTATACCTAGGCCTCTCCACTTTATTGGGCTTCTGGAGGTCCATAAAGATCTCGTTATTCAAGAGGGCTTTTGAGGAGGTGGAAGTTTAGCCTACCCTCGAGGAATGGCATTGCCATGTGATGTTGATCAGAATGATGCAGTGTTTTTAACCCAAGGTTTGATATTCTTTAAGCAGCTTTAGTTCTACAGAAAACCTAGTGGCATAGATACACAAAAAAGATGGTAAAATGGGTGGGTATTCCAAAATAGACTAGATGGATGGAGAGAACTAGGACAATAAGTTTCCATTAACAACTTCCTTTCTTCCCAATAGCAAGACCACATAGAAATGATCAAGGCCCTTATTGTGTTTGGAGCAGATGTGGATATCCCCAATGATTTAGGGGAGACACCTGGATTGGTGGCAGCCAGGACAAGCAAAGGTAGGAAGAACTTTTGAATAGAAGCAGGATGGTGGGAGGGTTGATCTTGGTCTACCCAACTGGGTTCTGTTTACACTGTGAACAGAATCCATGTGTACTTAAGCCCTGGATCTTGAGGTTTAGGGTGTAAATCAGTACTTCCCAGTGAAGGTCTGCTATGGAATAGAAATTTAGAATCAGATAAATAACCAACAATGGAGGGGAGCATTAAGAATTAGGCCCTAGAGTTACCTCATTAAAATTTCTCTCCATTGCTCTTGACAAGCATGTTCACTTTCAGATACAAGCTCTTCCCGGGTACAAGAAATAAGTTGGCTCAGAGCTTTCAATAGTGACTGGTTTTTTAAATTTGTTTTAATAATTTTCTGTTTAATGCATGTGATTCCTGCCTCACTTATGCAAGGTGCCAACCGGAAGGTTCTTTTAGATCTGCTGAAAATTATAGGGATTGAACGCTTCCTTCCACCTGGCATATCTACCTCATCAACATCCACTTCCGCCCTCCCAGAAAGATCATCAGCCCCACGGAGTTCTGGCTTAGGTAACCTACTACCTAGCTCTGTGCCTTTCTTCTTTTCACTCTCTTGGACCACTTTCACATCTGAAGATTTCCAACATGGGGTTGCGCTTAGAATAAGAAATCTTATGTTAAAATGAATGCCAGTGTACACATCCATATTGCTATTCTAATCAGTTCTGTTGGTTACAGATTTCCAATACTGTGTGGATGTGCTAGAAAAGCGATCAATGCATTGGAGCAATCAGGACAACCAATCTTGTGACTTTCTATCATGTTCTATTGTAATTTACCCTATTATAATCCCAATGACTTTTCCTTCATATTCTTACAGCTGTAATAATATAATATTTTAAAAGAGACAGATTAATAAGTAGCTCTTAAATTAGGAGATAAGCTTGCTATATTCACTGTAGACAAGGCTCTTATAAGCATTGCATACAGGGAAGTGAGTTAACAAGCATGATTTACTGTTATTATAGTGACTCTGGACAGATATGCCTATCCCATCATTTCCTTCTGAGCAATGCCTTGAGAAATAGAAACCTCAGATTCTATTGAATCTGGATACCACAGTGACTGGAGAAATACATCTTAAACTCTCAGTTTTAACCCGTGCCTGCGCTGTCCTTAAAATGAGAAATTTTATGTTATGTTCGTTGCTCTGTGTTTTTCTAGACTACCAAGACATCATCCATGTTTCAGCAGCTCTTGGCAACTTGCTGAAGACACCAGATGTGGTGGACTCTGCCCCTGAGAAGAGGAGAAAGTAAGCAAGTAGGGTCGGTGAGAGTCACATAGGCGCTTTAGATGCCCTTGCGTGGGGAAGATGTAGTAAAGATGCATCAAATTCCTGGAAAGGAAGGCTTCTTGCCTACTGTTTCTCTTTTCTGTGGCTCAGTTGTACCCTTAGGAACAATTACTTTGGTACATTAGATGTATTATATAATGCATATAAACATTTAACTATCTCCCTGAGTCATGTGAATGTGAAGAACAAGGCGAGTTACTTCTGGGGCTGACACTTCCCTTGTTTTCTCTGTTCCCCTTCTCTAGCCAGGACCGCCTCCTGAGTCTGGACGGTGGGGGTGTCCGGGGCATTGTACTCATCCAGTTTCTCATCGCTATAGAGAAAGCTGCAGGGCGTCCCGTCAAAGAGCTCTTTGACTGGGTGGCGGGGACTAGTACAGGGGGAATTCTGGCCCTGGCTATTATACATGGTAAGAAGTGGTGTGAATAGCAAGTAATCCCATGTGGAAATGACTCAGTGTGGGATGGGAATGGTCACTGAATTGGGAAGAAAATGGTGGTGGTGGTGGGGTTGCTCTTTAAAACCTGAATTGGGTTCCAGATTTCTTGTCAAACTGCCACAGTATATAGCTCGTTGTGCCCAAATCCTTCACATTGCTGTGTTGGCTTTGCCATTTTTATTTTATTTTTTTGCTACATTTGTAAATCGCTAAGCTCATAAGCTCAGTTCCTTTCTAGTTAATTTTTATTTCTAATCTTTCAGCAATAAACATGCATTCAGTCTAGAAGAGGGCCATAAAAAGCTTTTTATTGATTAGGTGAAAAAGAACTAAGGGTTCCTGATCCAGAAATTGAGATTCAGTTTAATGCTTCCATTGCTGGGGATAGATAGAAGACAACCCTAGTTTATATTGTATCACCCCCATTACTGTAGGTAATGTCTCATTCGGATATATTTTGTATCTGCCTGTCAAACAATTCTTCAATTGTTCTTTACCACTATTCATCAGAAGCTGCCATATTTTATCATGTAATCATTAGTCCTCATGGTCCATATCAGGGGTGTCAAACTCAAAACCTGCAGGCCAGATCTGGCCCACGGGATACTTGGATCTGGCTTGCGGGGCTACCCTGGAAACAATGAAGGACCGGCCTGTGATGCCTTTGCCAGCAAAAATGGGCTTCCAAGCTCCATTGCTGGCTGCAGCGATCTCCTGCAACCCTCTGCCAGCAAAAGGAAAGCCCGTTTTTGTTGGCAGAGCACTCAGGCTGCCACCCTGACATGAGTGACATCAAGCTGGCCACACTCAACCCTGCCCCATGAGGTCAAATACAACCCTGATGTGACCCTCAAAGAAATAGAGTTTGACACCCCTGGTCTATATTTTAAATGACCACGTGTTTTTCTAGTTTTTCAACCAGTCTCTCTTTGAGAACAGATAGCAAGAGATTGAATGAGGGATCTATTGCACCCAAAGCATGCAATATATGGATCCTTTACACAGAATGGCTCATCTACATTGCATTCTTGTATCTGACGAAGTCTTATGTATTCTTTCCTGCTATTGAACTTCTGTCACACGTTTGGTGATTTCACTCATTGCACAAAACATGGATTTCCATACTTTCATCAAGATGTTTAGATAATTTCCTGCCTGTTTCTATCAGCTGGATTGGAACCAAAGGTGTTCTCCAGGAAACCGTCAATCAATCCATCAGTTTATTACAGTCTTAGACCAGAGACCAGAACAAATAAAAACGCTCAGTAAATGTACAATTAAAAATTCTAGTATAAAACAATAAACAACAACTAAAACCTATAATAAAATCCAGTCTGCCAATTATACATGGTCTAACTGTACTAAGATTACAATCCATAAACTGTGTGGCCCCTTCTCCGGGAAACCAATAATGCTGTTGTTCTTCTCAGGGAAGCCCATGGACTACATGCGCTGTGTGTACTTCCGCATGAAAGATGAGGTCTTTCGAGGGTCACGGCCCTATGAATCGGAGCCTCTTGAGAATTTCCTGAAAAAGGAGTTTGGAGAACATACCAAAATGACAGATATCAAGAGTCCCAAGTAAGCCAAAATAAAAACCGTTAGGGTGGCTTCCTGAACCCTCTATTCTTCATTAATTAACTCTGTTGGTCATTAATATACCTTCCCTTATTCAAAGTGGTTTTGGCATCTCATCAGTACCTAAATAGTAAATTGCCTAGCAAAGTTATAATACCACTTTATGACCCATAGGAGAATGATAACACACACTAAGCTGTCCTGGTCAGGCGAATGATCCATTTTTCTTACTTCTTTCTAGTAAAAGTATTTTTCGTTAAAAAAAACTTTTTTCATCAAGTACCACCTGATCTCCTTTAACGAGCAGTTTGAGTCATTCACTTTCTGTCTGGAGAGCATAAAAGTATTGGTGCTGCGCTGTGGTCTATGCCTTACAATCAAGTGGAAATTTTGTCTTGTTCAACCTTTTACAGAGTCATGTTGACAGCAACATTATGCGACCGACAGCCTGCTGAACTCCATTTGTTCAGGAATTACAATCCGCCAGAAGGGAGAAACAAACCCCGTTTCAGAATGATAGGCTCATTTCAACCAATGACCAAGCCGGAAGGTAAATACAGGTAGTTCTTGACTTAGGTTCACAACTGAGCTCAAAATTTCTGTCGTCATGCTTATCAGAAGGTTGCAAAAGGTGATGACGTAACCCTGGGACACTGCAACCATCATAAATATGAATCAGTTGTCAAGCATCCGAATTTTGATCACGTGACTATAGCTGCGAAGGTCATAAGTGTGAAAAATAGTCATAAGTCACTTTTTAATGGTGTTGTAACTTTGAACAGTCACTAAATGAACTGTTGTACGTTGAGGACTATCTCTACCTATTCCCACAGACCAGGGATATAAGTTGCAATGGGGGGCGGGAGTGGTGGGAGGACCGTGTAAGGAATACATAACTCCGCCTCATTCACCCCCTTGTGGAGAATTGGATGAAATAAAATAATCATACACTTGTTCTGACCCAAACCTGGTTCCAAGGAAGCAAACATGAGACAGCACAACCTGTTAATGTTTCTTAATGAATCCCGTTCCTTTACGGGTAAAAAGCTGCTTCAAACCAATTAGCTCCGATAAGAAAGAGCCTTGTCAAGGTTTTGCAAGGCTGCCAAGAGCACCAGATAAAATTACTAAGCAATAACTAACACAAAGAGTCTCCAAACACCAACTCAGACATTCCTAACATCCACCAGGCTCAAATGTAAAACTTCTTTGCCTTCTGCAAAGAACTGCGATTTCTTAGCTGGCTTTTATCACCTCAGGGAGGGGCCACCACCTTGCAACCTTACGCCGGAGTCACCCATGCTGCTGCAGCTGCTCTTTCCTTCGAGCAGCCCAGCGCACATGTGGGCTCCTCGTGGATCTCTTCATCGCTGCTACCAGCCTCCACAATCTCCAAAGGCAGCATTATATTTTTTCTTCTTCAGAATTAAAGTGTAATCAAAATAATGTAAGGAGATCTTCTTTTGGCTTCCCTACTACCTCCAAATTTTTCCTTGATTTGAATTTTCTTGTGTTTATTTCCATTTCCCTGAAAGGCAGATAGCCCGATAGTCTTGCTTTGTAGTGTATTATAATATTGATACACATTCTTGCTGATAAGTCACTGCTTTTTGTTTGCTCCTTATAGATCAACTGGTATGGCAGGCTGCCCGTTCCAGTGGAGCTGCTCCAACATATTTTCGACCTGTAGGGCGGTTTCTGGATGGAGGGCTGCTAGCCAACAACCCCACTTTGGATGCCATAACCGAGATCAATGAATATAATAAGTCTTTAATCCAGAAAGTATGGCTTTATTCTGCAAGAATAATCATTAAAGACACATTCTAATCTGCACATGCAATTTTCTAAAATGTCTTAAGGTTGAACCATTTTTCCCTCCCCAGAGATAGTATTTTCTCTTTTAAAAACAAACAAACAGATTTTGAAGGAATTCAGAACCTAATGAATGTCCCTGGGTGACTAAAACGTGAAATGTTTCAGTTGGTTTTGTTTAGCTGTGGGGCAAGAAGAGCATAAAGTAGCACTGCTGGAAATTAGGTGTTTTGCTACCAATTTGGCAATGTAATTTGTGGGTGCTCAAATTCATTAATGGGATCTAAAAGTATCTGGCAAACAACATAATCAATAAACATTTTCATCAAAGCCCCCCCAGAGCAAGCTGCATCAGCCAATTTCTAACAGAAGGCACATCATATAGCCAGCACTTTAGTTTCACTGCTCTCTTTTTTGTTGTTATTTATCTTTTGTTTTAAACTTCGATTCAAGTAAAGAAAGATGGTAATTAGGCAAAGGGAAAAATTAAGTATGCAAAATTAAAAGCCTGCAGGTCAATTTCTGGCAAAACATTATGGAGAGAGTGACATGTTCTAATTGGAAACATAATCAAGTACCAGCATACCTCTTGTATTTGTGCTCTGATATAATTTTTATATGAAAACAAACAATTCCTAAGCATATATGTTCCTAAGCTTCTTAGGGCTTTTTCCACATTGTAAGAAAAATTATGTGCTTTGATTTGTGATACATGGCATGAAACTTTGGTTGTGGTAGTTTGGAGCATCTGGAGTTTCAAAAATGTCTGCAAAACTAGCCAGAGCATTTTGCATTAAGCTTTTCAGCTAAACTAATTAAAGCAAACTGACTAAACTAAAGATTGCCAAAAGCAAGAATTTACCAAAAAAATGGGCTGGCAAGGACCATCATATGATACAGGGAAAGAAAAGGTTTCCTGAAAGTTTAGTGGGATTTGCACCATAACTTTTCTTTTCATAATGCCAAGGCAACGCAAGTATCAAATCCTGATTTGTAACTAAATAAGCTTTCAAGCTTTGTGTAAATTTATGTCAGAATAAATGTGTAAGACATCAAGGACTTAAAGAGCTACCAATCAGTTTTGTCAACAAATTTAAAACAACTCGCTTGCTAAATCTCCATACCTCTTTGAAGAATGGAAAAAAGTAAACCAGAATAATATTCCAAAAACCTATTTCATATGGACTGTGAACATGCTTCTTTTGTGCTAAATTCAAGCAACATATATGAAGATGTTGGTAAGACTCCTATCCCCTTCATCCTTGAAAGCATGAAGTCCTTGCTTAATTTTCTTCCCATCTCTCCAGGGGCAAGGTGACAAAGTGAAGAAGTTGGGACTTGTCGTCTCTCTTGGAACTGGCAGAGCACCAAAAGTGCCTGTGAGCTCTGTGGATGTCTTTCGTCCCTCTAACCCTTGGGAACTGGCCAAGACTGTCTATGGGGCTAAAGAACTAGGCAAGCTGGTGGTGGACTGTGTGAGTATGAGATAGAAAGTAGGCATCATGATACCTGATCCAAGGGGAAGATTTCTGCATTTTGCGTATAAAAGGAATGTTTTGGATAGTTTGCAATATAGCAATTCAAAAGCCCAATAAAGGTGAAGAAAATACTTTTCCCAGGGAGATACTAGCAGATGTTGAGGGAAATGAGATGCTTATCTAAGTTTCTTTCATACATATGCTTCAATATTTTTGCCTAATCCACTCTTGCCCATACCTTACTGTTGTTTGAAATTAACATTGCTGCTTTCTGAGCTACTTCTTTGCTTCTGTGATTAGATATACTGAGGAGATTATTTGCAGCCCAGGTTTGAAATGAAGGGTCCTTGGTGCTCTCTGGGCTTGGTTGTTTTCTTGCAGATGTTTCATCACCCAAACTAGGCAACATCATCAGTGCTAGTAAGGAGTGGGATTTGCTCTCATTTTATATTCTAGTGGCTTGCCCTGTCAATGTTGGTAGGAGTGGTTTTAGAGGTTCTTTCTTTGGCCTATTTATTGTTAGCTTGTTTGACAGTTCCTTGATGAGGGTATTACTTACTTCTTGATTGGTGATCTGGTATTAATCTTGGTGTTAGTCTTCAATCATCTGGGTGTTAGCTGCTGGTGGGAGGTGTTTTAGTCTTTAGCTTGATTTATGTACTGTGTCTTACAGAAGTGACCATTTTTATCAAGAACCAAATACTCTCCTTTATTATGTATAATTTTCCCCTTTTTCATTTCTTTTTTATCTTATTTAGTAGGGAAATCTTTTTTACTTCAAGACTGCTGTAAAATTATTTATTTCTCCAACTTTCTCCAACTCCAGTAATCAGGTAGCCAATCTTTAGTGTCACATTCAATCTACTGTTTAACACCCCCACCTACCCACAATAACAAATTGTGCCTCCTTTGTCATATTGGATTTTCCTGGGCATTTTCAAAATTAAGACTATTTATATTCTATTTGAATCCAATATGCAAATAAGTCCAGGTATAGAACTAGATGGTTAGTAGTTTTCACTTGCAGGAATTGGTAAAAAGTTAAGGGCAAAATGTCACCTTACTTTTATTCTAGCTTCCCCCTACACATATGCATATATGATAGCATATTTTCAAGCAACTTTAATATGACTTTCAGCTACTTGATTCTTTCTTATAAAAGCTATAAAGGACACAAGCAAATCCCAAATGCCAATAATGTACTGTCATCAGTTTAGCCCACTGGTAACACAGAATAACTATTAACAGTTGCTTTGTTACTCAAAAAGAGGTCTTAAAATTTGGTCTCATTCTCAGAAAAACTCTGCATTGTCATGTTCCATGTTTATGTTGTCCTTAAAATTAAATTATCTAATGTGTGCCTGTCCACATTAATAACCTTCTTATTTATTTTTCTTTTTTTTTTTTTTAAAACAAGTTTTATTAAAAGTTTCAACAACAAACAAATCATTACATATTAAATCTTTCCCTGTCTTTCTACAATAATTTCCCCAATATTCTCATAAAACACAAACAAACACAAACAAACATAAAAAAAATCTTTTAGTAAAGTACCTTGGCCCCAGTTACCTCTCTTTGCATGGGCTAAAATAATAGCACATATCACTCTTCACATTTCTATCTTATTTAATCCATCTTAATTAAATCATTAAATTTGTATCTTTTGCCCATTCATTTATCCCTCTATCTCTTCTTATAATAAAAAAAATTTCTCCTGAAATCACTAATCAGAGTATGATGCCTTTCTATCCTCCCCCTAAGTTAGTAAAATTAACATTCAGCATAACAAATACCCAATTTGGTTCTGCTTGGTACATTCTATCCACCAAAAATGTTTAAATACATTGTATCCTCCTTTCCTTCGATATTTTATTACATTTTAAAAATCAATCATTATTAAAAACTTCAACATTTTAATTTCTTATTAAATCTTAAACCATTCTAATTTACTATTTCAAATATAAATGTTACAATACCATCTTCTGTACCTTAGCAGAATCTTTCTTACAGAAAATTATATTTCATCCTTTGTCTCTAAAAAAAATCCCTCTTCTCCCATCCAATTTTAAAGCTTTGAGGCTTTTCTCCGCCTTTCCCCTTTCTTTCTTCCCCCACCAAATCTTCCTACCCCCCCTTCTTCTTCTAACCTCTGCCTTGCTGGGATCCCTTCTCTGTTGTGTTCCCTTTTTCTCTTGTTTGTTATCATTATATTTACTTTGCATCATATTTTTCTCTTTCTCAAATGTTTTTTTAGATCTTAAGTCCTTCATTTTCCTTGCTCTCTTCCTTCCTTCTTCCTTAGATAAGTTTTGGGATTCAATGAAGATGGCGTCTTCGTCTCTTCCTTGTTGTTCTTCTTCCGTTTCCATCTGTTCCATTGTCTGTTGGTAATTGACCAGCGCCATTTCTAGAAATAGAAAAGCTTTTTCCATGCCATCTTTGCAGGCTGCTTTTGTTTGCTCATATTCATCCCTCAGGTCTTCAAAAAGGAAAGCCATTATAAATAAATCTTTTCTTTTCTTTATTCCTCTTTCTTCTTACACCAACCAAATATTCCGAGAGAAAGGCAAAACAATCCCAAAATCCACAATCCTCAATAAATCCAAGCAAGCCAAAATTCCCCCTTCCTCTTCCAGGGGTGGTATCAAACAAATAAAAAAAAAGAATCCAAGTCTATATTTTAAAGCCTTATTAAGATTGTATTTCTGTCCTCAAGTCTTCAAGGCATCTCCTCCAACAAGATCCAAATTTATATATTTTCTTTATCCTCTCCCTTCCGGCTTAATTCCGTCGGGAGGGAGAGTAAACTTTCCCTTCAGCACCTCAAAATAGCCGCTTTTTTTTCTCTTGTGGAAGAAATCATCAGAAAACCATCTTTTCCAGGAATTAAATTAGATAAATCTCAAAGCCCTGGGTCGACCAAGAAGAACTTTCACTTTCAATAACTTTCTCTTCTTCCTCCTGCGCATACTTGCCCGGCTGTCAACTTCTTTGTGGCGGCCATTGCGGACCGCCGCTGCACCGTCCTGGTAACAGGGGGTTCTGCCGGCCAGGGAGGGGGTCTGCAACACCCCCAAACCCTTCCTCCGGATCCCCCTTACCTTCAGCTACCCCTGCAGGGCAGCCTTGCTCCGCACCCGTCCGGGTCGGAGCCCCAAAACGGCTAGCGCGGCAGGGATCGCGCAGCTTCGCGAATCCCTACCGCTCGCGAAGCCGACAAACCGGAAAAACCTTATTTATTTTTCTTTTGAGGTTTTCTTAATTTGTACTGGAAATTTGTTCTGTAGAAAAACTGGCATGCCTTGAATAACGTTAAATTCGTTTGTTTTATTTTTGCAGTGCACAGATCCAGATGGACCATGTGTTGACCGTGCAGCTGCCTGGTGTGAGATGATAGATGCCCATTATTTCAGGTATAAGCCATGGCTACTAGAATACTGTGTCAGAGAAATCAGAGCTTGAACTTGTGAATGTGATTTCAGAATATGAACTTATATAGTAAACAAGGATCACCATGCAGGGGCTCTATCAGTCACTTTAGTTGAGAGCAAAGCGGATTTATAGCTGAAGATTATTATGTGTTTTGGCAGATTTTGTTGGCAGAGTTGAGCAAGCTCTAAATCTCAATATGTTGCTGAGTTTCCAGCATCGTTGGTCATGTTTGCGGTGGCTGCTGAGTTTAGCAACATTTCAAGGTCACAAGTTCGCCATCCTGATAAATAGTCATTTTCTAGGTTACTTTCTGCTTTTCAGGTATTTTATATAAGAGGCCCTCACAACATTATAATGGGGTGGGATTCAGCAGAGAAGTAGGGAAATATTAACCAATTACCCAACGTCTGAGCTACAGTCAGAATGTTTTATATGAAGCCAGATTAGTTTTATCTAAGAAGACAGGACTGTGACACAGGATGATGCAAGAACAGGAAACAAAGCTTAGATGAGGCAATGGCTCAGTCCTTTCTGTAGAGAACTTTTGTAGACTCAAAAGTAGGGAAGAGCTCAAAGATTTATATGGAAGATGAAAACCGTAGAGATAGTCCTTGACTTATGTCCTTGACTTTATGTCCAAACAACTGTTTGAAGTTACAACGGTGCTGGAAAATGTGACTTATGATAGGTCCTTATGCTTACAACCACCGCAACGTTCCCATGGTCATGTAATAAACATTCACGTGCTTGGCAACCTCCATGTATTTACAACAGTTGCAGCATCCTGGAGATCACATGATGGCCATTTGTGATCTTCCGACAAGCAAAATTAATGAGGGAAACTGGATTTTCACAATAGTTATGTGATTCACTTAACAACCACAGCAAAAAGTTGTCAAACTGGGTGCAACATACCTAATGGCTGCATCAATGATGCAAAATAAGGCAAAATAAAATTGTAGTCCACACAGTGTGCACTATTTGTGTTGGCTTTTTTCTGTCACCAGGTTCTATCAGCAATATTTAGAAAACATTTGTGGGCTGGGCTTTTGGAAACTAAAAGTGAAGGTCCTAGGATGCTCCTGTTGCACCACAATGCTCCCCTTGCATTTTGTTTTCTCTGTTGTGCTCTCCTCTGTTGAACACTTCTTTGCCCTACATTCATATCTTCAGTTGCAGCCTATGCACAAAACTGCTGTTGTTGTTAACATCTTCATGATGCCCACAGATTCAATCCCTCTTTGGAGACAGACATCATGCTGGATGAAGTGAGCAATACAATCCTGGTAAACATGCTCTGGGAGACTCAGATCTACATTTATCAACACTGGGATAAATTTGAGCAGTTGGTAGAACAACTCCTAAACAAATAGAGCTTTTGTGAGGATTTTTGGTACAAATAATGCCTGCCTTGAGCTGCAGCTTGGATTATCAGTGAGAAGTAGCAGTTTCTGCTGGCCAGTGGCTTGCCCCTTATCTTCGTACCAGAAAAATCAAGTGAATTTGAGGATTGCTTCTATCAAAACATCCATCAGCTGTTCTAGGTCCTGTGACTGCCTCCCTCCCTCCCCACCTCAATGTGCTGCTATACCAGTAACCTTAAGGGTTTAAGTCATTTCACTTTGCTTATTGATCAGAGATTATTCCTGCGTGGAATCTACGACTGGTTGTGTGCTGTGAATTAATTACTTATATCTTTGTATCTAAGAGGACTTGTACATGAGGACTTGAACAATTGAAATAGCTCTTTTCTCCTTGTTTACAAGTCATTTCCCGAGTTTCTTCTTATGTGGAAGGAGATTTTTTTTTCCACATGAGAAAACCTACCATTCCCTTTCAACATTATTGGTACTTGGCAAACTCGTTTGCTCATTCTAGACCAGGGGTCTCCAGCCTTGGCAACTTTAAGCCTGGCGGACTTCAACTGAAGTTGAAGTCCACCAGGCTTAAAGTTGCTAAGGTTGGAGACCCCTGTTCTTGACCAAAGCCCTTCCTAAATGCTTGCTTCCTTACTTCAGACTCCTTTTCTCTGAGTCCTCTCACCCCTGAAGTAATCACTTTGCTATGAGTGGCACAAAAGAGTCCTGGAAGAATGGAGGATAGTACTTTCTTTCAGGAGGCAGCCTTGGACAATAGTTCTTCAAATAGTGCCCAAACAAAGACATTTCTGAATAAGGGTGAAAAATGTAGGAATGGGCACACATCAAATAAGGAGACCATTGATTGACCAAGTCAGTAGACGGGCCCATGGTTTTATGTTTGGTTTTTCTGCTTTCTCATACTATCTTCCTTACTTCATTAATTTTTCTACTCATGAATGCTGTCTTTGCTGTTTGGTTTAAACAAAAAATACGAGGTGTACTGATGTTTAACAAAAACATACTATTTTTCTAAGTTTTAACTGACTTAATAGGATGCACTGGAATTGTTGAAAAACTGATAAAGTGAAACTAACAGGAAATACTCCACTCTCCCATTATTTTCATAAGCTATTTCAAATTCCGATGAAAATTATGTTGATGTTAAAAAGTCCCTTTCCCCCCAAAAGTGAGCATTAAATAAAGACCACTATTTTCTGAAATCTGACCTTTCTCTGTCTTGATTCTTTTCATTTAAGATGTCCTAATACAAATTGCAATGTCAGAGGTGCATTTTAGCTTCCTTTTATTGCAAACTGAGAAGCTTATTAAAAAGTAACCTCTTAAAAACTGGAAATTCAAAATGCATAGGATCAACTTTAGCAATTCTTAGTCAATATCTGGAAGTCACCTGACAGAGAAAGGCTGCTCTGTATGGCATAAGTGAAATTTTTAAAAAATATTTTGTCCTGTGAGAATTGCTGTATTTAACTTAAAGAAAGATGTGTGTGTGTGGGGGGGGGGGTTACCCCCAAATAAGTCCCTGTGAGTGAGTGAATGCATGTGTATCATTTTGCATTCAGTGAGTAAATGATAGAAGGAGGAGGTGATTGGTGGAAGTAAATAAACGTTCAACATTTTTTATATTAGCTACAAGCAGTATATCTGAATATTTCTAAATCCCACCAGGTGCGATCAGAACAGTCATAGTCAAAAGGAGCTAAAGATGCTGGCCCTCTTCCATTTTGGAGGCATTTAATATCTATAACAAAACTTCATGCCACTGTAAGCTATGCCAATATTACATCGATATTATTACAGCAGGGCCTTATTTAGATCATTATAAAACAGAAAGAAGCTTATGTTCTTGCTTTTCATTGGGGAGCAATACCAATCACGCGTTGATGACATGGGAACTAAAGAGGGAACTAAGTAACACGTGACACTGTTCTATATGACTTGGGCATGGTGTTTATCTAAAAGAGAAATCCTTGATTTTTTTCCTTGGTCGTTGGATGAAGTAGTTCCCTTTTGTGCCAAATGTGGCATGTGCTTTCTATAAAACTCTCAACCTAGCTGCATTAACTAAAACCCTTTTACTTACTAAAGCCTAGTGTCAACCCAGTTGTACCTAATTAGACCTCCCCTTAGTAAGGTTTTTCCTTCAGTTGCTGTATGTTTGTGCAGATGGGGAGCGATTTTATGAAAGGCTGCCGTACTTCACTGGCAACCAGTACTTAATAATTAATAGTGGTGAGCCTTTATAAGGGGGTGTGTGTGTTTGTTTCAGGCTGTGATCCTGTGTTTGCTTGGAATGTGTCTGTGGGTAACCACTTGGTGGCTTTGGTTAATGTAAATTGAGCCCTTCTTACAAGACTCAGAGGTTTACTTGCTGTGGGGAGACACTAGGCACCTATCAGATAAAGTCACTTAGATTCACTCCAAATTGAACTCTTGCAGGTCCTATGGAGGTGATCAAGGCTTAGACTGGCTTGGTTCTCTGGGAAGAGTTTGATCCATTTGGCCCTAATAACAAAGACAGGGTCCTTGGGGCTACAAACTCAAGTACCTATATTTTAGATCCATGTCCCTTCCAGTTGGCTAAGATGTTGTGGGAGGTGACATGTGGCTAGGTTCTGATGATGGTGAATTCTTTGAAAGGGGTGATTCCTCTGTCCCTTACAAAGGTGATATTTTGTCAACCACTTGCTGGCCCCAACCATGCTGAACAAATTTCAGCTAATATCCAACCTTCCCTTTATAGGGAGGGTTGGAAAGATGATGGTTATATGGCAGCTCCAGAAACCTTGGGGAAATTGGATTATCTGGGTTTCTTTCAGTAGGGATTATGACCTGGGTACAGGATAAAATGGCATTGATTACATTGGTGGAAGTGGGATGGTGTTTGTGCTCCAATCTTTGCTCTTCTTGACCACTCAGTGGCTTTTGATATCATTAATCATGGTATCTTTGGAATGTCTTCTTGGAGATTGAGAGTAAGCAGATAATGTTATACCGGTTCTCTTACTTTGGGGCTTGTTCCAGTCAATATTGATAGGGGAGAAAGGTCTAATCATGGTCCCTTTTTATGGAGTTTCATAGAGCTTGGCAGTCTTTTCACTCCCGTTTAACATCTACGTGAAGCCATGGAGTGACATATGCTGATGATATCCAACTTTATATTTCTATCCATGGCCGACCAAGTGGTGGTATTAGAATAAAAGGGAAAACATTACTTTATAACCCTGGGACAACTAAGGGCAATAAGCTTGTTCCACTCATGGACTGAAGGTGATATAAAGAACATGTCTTGAAGACATAGCAGAAAAAAAGGATACAACCTGTGTGTGTATTGCCTGGTTAGGCAGAAGTGGAAAAAGCCCTTTAAGCCAAACTGGAGATAAGTTGTTCAAGGTGCTCAACTCATCATAATTATTTCAGTCAAGATAGTTTGATGGAACAATGTTCCACAAAGAACCATATATGGAAACTGCAATACATAATTAAGAGTAAAGATCATATGACCCCCATAACTGTCACAAGATTCCGCCCAACCTGATATCTGATTACACCTAAAGATCAAGTTCCAACAGCACAATATGAGAATTAATTATTAAACTCTCTGGCAGTGGTGTTCTTCTTCTTCAAAGCAAGCCAGCATATCTTCTCACTTCCATTCCCGGAGAAGGGGTTCTTGGGTCTTAAAATATTTGAGGATGGAACAATCCTACAGATCGACAATCACTATTTATAAGGTGAGACTTAGTTTTCTTTGTTCCCTAGATTGTAACAGCCTTTCTTGATTGGCCAAGAAAACCGTGGTTTTAGAGGACTTTCCTTAATAATGGATTCTGCAGGAGACAAAATGGAAGTAGAAAGAAGTTGTTAAAATATAAATGGAGGAAAACTGTTTGATTACTAAAACCTGTGGTCCAGATTACTTAATAGTATAGCTTCTAAGTGCTATAGCTTTAAAAACTTGAATAACTTAATAATCTCTGTTTTAAGTTGTGAGATACTTAGACTAACCAAGGAACCTAATTTTTTGAATCTCAGTCTGCTTTAATTACACATTTAAAAGTACGGAAATAATTTATTCACATTACATGCCACAATTGTGTTTGTACCCAGATAGTTTGTTTTATATTATCAGATCGTGCAGCCATTTGTAGTAGAGGCACCATTGTTCCCAATAAAGATCAGATTCATATATTGTGGTAGGACCTTTTGTATTTTTAAAATATTTTTGTTGCTTTTTAAAATAATAGGAAAAGAAAAAACAAAAGGTACGAAATCCAAAAATATAAAATAAAAATGCATAACGAGTGCTCAAAAATAAATGAAAAATACAATAGAAAAAAGCCAAAATATTAAGTATAATATGATCCAGTAAACAGTTACAACTCTCTATATAATTATTTAATGCAAACATACAGACACACACAAACATACATTTTATATAGACACACATACATTCATTTCTAATACACGTATACCATATCTTTTAGCCTATTGTATTTTGTATAAATGATATACATACCCTTATAAATTAGTTTTAATTTTCTGATTTGGGCAATTTTGTAATATGCATATATAGCACCTTTAGTTGGATGGAGAGAATTAGAATCCAAATACAACAGAACTCTAGTATCTCTGGAAATAATTGTATCTGTTAGAAAGCTATGGAATGGAACATCTCATAAAAATAGATTTGATCTTTTTTGAATGCTAAATTGACTTTACAGGGAAATTCAACATTTAAAATTGAGGGAAAATAGTGATGTAGAAAAATTGGATGAAAGCAGGGATATTGATTTTGGACCAACTGACAAGTTTGAAGAGCATTAGGAATGAAATGAAATAATTGAAGGTAAGGGCAAAACGGGCAAAACGTAGAAATTAGTAGGTTGTTCCCAACTGGGATTGTAATAAGCATGTGACTTCCATTTTTTCCATTCTTTGATTCCCCCAAAGTTTTGCATTTCATAGAATTATAGAATGTAAATCTTGGATGACATCTGGTTTAACCTCATGCTTGGCCTAGCTAAGCTGAAAAACTATTGAGAGGCCAAAAGGTTCAACTCAGAAGTAACAAGAAGGTAATCCAATATGCAGTGAAAACTAACTGCTAGATGAAATTGAAACTATAGTTGGCTGTCCAGCACACACAAAGGTTGACATCTTTTGCACACTTACTCAACAGCAAGCTCATTGATTTATAATACTTATCTAAGTAAACCTAACAAGGCAGTGTTTATCCAACATGGTTAACTCTACCCAAACCTACTCGTACTATTGTTACCATTCGGCAGAATATGCACATGGAGAGGTATAACTGTGACTGACAACCTAAGCTATACCTTTTAGACTAGAAAGTGTACAAAAGTGTTATGTACAAGCTTCAATTGACAAAAGCCACACGGGACAGCAGAGGTCAATAGCTATGGGCCCTTCAGATAATGGCCACAGCATATGGAAGATAGCAACTTGGAAGGTAAGAAGAATAAATGATGAAGTTGTGTTTTTTCCCCTCCACATATAGAGAGAGACTCTTGTTTGGTGTGTGTGTGTGAGAAAGGAATTTGGCTATGGAATTTGCAGGAAGAAGAATTTGCGTTGGAGTTGGAAAAGCAAAATAGAAGATGGTTGGCAAACTAAGTTGTATTTAGGCAGTTCTGGCTGCTGAAGAATAGCCTGATCCAGGATGGCTGAGACAGTAAAAAGTTCCTAGGTGAAGGGAAGATCACCAAAGTTGGAGAAAGATGGTGTAAAATGGGATCATATTAATGCAATAAACAATCCTTAAGGGAAAAACGCATCCAAACATAAATGTTACTAGATGATACATACTACTACCCATGGAAGATAGCTAACTAAGCATAATTAATGACCTTGATTAACTCTGGGGGAGGGGGAAGGGAAGAAAGTGTTGTATCTACCCTCATTTTGCTCACTGTTAACATTGGGTCCCAACATTGGGTCCATAACACCACTTTATATTGTCTGGCACCAATTGTCTTCCAAATTTCGGCCAGTAACTATGGTTAAGGTATTTTCAGCATAACATACTTTTAAACCTTATGGATGGCCCACTTGATTGATTGTCTAGAATATAGATAGCTACAGTAAGTTTTTTTTTAAAGAGACCCAGATGCTGTATGTAAGATTTTATTATTTATTTTTTTCTTCATCTGGATGGATAACAGAGCATCCTGGAACAGTT